TTTTTTAACAACCTCAATACAGATAATAATAATTTAATAACTATAAGTATAACACAAAATTAGTTTATAGCAATAAACAAGCTTAAAATGTCTGAAATATTTTATTAATATTTTTAAATGCAAACTTTGTAAAAATAACAAAAAAATAATAATTTAAAATAACTAAATAAATTCTATAGTAATTTATGATTACAAAAAAAAAAAAAAAAAAAAAATTAAATATAATGATAAGTAACTAAATAAGTTCTTTAAAAATCTATAATGAAAAAAAAAATCTATAATTTGTTAACAAAAAATTTTTTCAAGATTTCTTATCAAAATTCTACAATGGCGTCATTTACTAAAACTCTTTGGAATTAAATGCACTCAAATAAATTATAAAGTCTGTAGATTGCGGCGTATATTTTAAAGACTTTGAGGAAATTGTTACTGTGGAGACAGCAAGCTCCGAGTAAGACAATATAGTTTGTTTTTGTTGGTATACATTTATTATTTTATTATCATTTTTTTTTATGAATCTCTTTAAAATGAACACAACTTGTCTTGGCACTTTGGGATCCCTTTAAAACTTTTTTCCTTTCTTATTTTCCTACTTTGATTTTGTTTAAGTTAAAACTTGTTTGCCAAAAATTAGCTCAAATTATTTACTTTCCTTCTCCTTGATTTGCGTCTTTTCTCATTCTAGCTTGTGTTCAGTTTCTCCTCATTCTCCTATAGGTATTTTAAACCTTGCTATGATTTCTCTAAAATGTTTATTTTTCTATATAAGCTTCGAGTTGTCGTTGTATTTCTTCTAAGGCTGAAACTAAGACTAACAAGAATTATTTTTTGTGATTTACTTTATTATGGTCCTCATTCATCTTTTGAATTAAACTTTCAGGAAGACATTGAAACATTTATTACTTATTGTTTTTGAGAAAAAACAACACGTAATACAAATTTTGAGAAAAAAAGCTTAACAGGAAATCAATCTCAATGAAAACTATTTTTTAATCGAATTTTTAAAAAAAATTAACTCTAAACTATTTAACAGTTTTTTTTAATTATTTAACAGTTCTTTTTAGCTATTTAACAACTAAAGAAAATTTAAATGGTTGTAATATTATGTTTTAGTAAATAGAATTTTTGTTAAATTGATTTTATAATGCATTGTCTTTAGAATCAAAATGTTGCTTTTTAAATATATATATCCAATTCATAAAACTTTATGATAACATAGTAAATTGAAGTTATTATCTACATATATATGTAAATGTATTGTAGTTTTGTAATTTAATAACACATGGTAACATATAACTAATTTTTTTGCAAAGTTATTTATTTATTTACAAAAGCAGTAACAAATGGGGTCATAAGGAGCTGCGTAGCCGAGTAACTAAATGTGTTATTAAAAAACATGTAAAAACATGTTGCCAATATTTTTTTAAATTACTTATGGGATAACAAAAATTTTTTTATGTAAATTATCTGCCCCTGTGTGCCCCATAAACTGCATGGTAATTTGCATGGTAATCACGTGCTATTTTAAATGTGCTTTTTAACATGGTAGTTTTAATTGCATTTGTATAATAATTCATATAGTACGTGCAGATGCTAAATTTATTTATCACATTATTTTATTACACTCTGAATGAAATGTACATAAATAAAAACTATAATTAAAGTTTATTTTGACTAGCTTTATCACTCACAAATGCGTATGATACATGCATGTACATAAAATGCCAGAGTATGTTCTATACCATTTGTGAATGGTATAATAAGCAGCTGTATCAGAAATTTAGAAAGTTATGTAACGTCTTATCAATAACAAATTTATAAAGTAAAGCAGATTGTAAAAGTTGTGCGTATACTGTAATTAGTTTTATGACAAAGGGATTTTGAAAATTACTTAATTGCTTGCACTCCATCTTATTGTTAATGTGTGCAATACTCAATGATGTAATTGTTGTTGTAAGCTCTTGAAAGATGAATGATTAAATAATTTTTATTGTTTATTACGTAAATTTGACTTTAATGTTTATACTGCGTTATATTGATATCGCATTTTAATGATACTAGACGGTTTATTGAGAATAAGTTTGTATACACGGCATCATTATCACTTGCTACTATTTGTTGGTTAGTTGTAAATGAAGAATTTTATAGCTTAAAAAGTTGCATCATATAAGTTGAAGGTTAATTATAAAATTTATTTGCAATAAATTATATTGTCTAATTTCTAACTTAAGTTTATTTTAATCAAGAAACTAATAATGGAGAGTAATACAAATCCAAATGATGAATTGATTCTAAACACTCTTTTTGACTTTTTATGGGAATCAGTGAAATGTGGAAAGTTAAATGCTTTATTTGATTCACGAAATAAGAAATTTTTGTCTACCTTCCTTGTGTCTAAATGCTCCAGTTATGGTATTGACAACAGCATAATTAAGAAGACTATCAATTTATTTTTACTTAATTTAAATACCAAGTGGAAAATAGCATCTAGGACTTTATAACTTGCATTGTACCATTAGAAATGTATGGATATGTGCAAGAAGAAAAAAAAATCATATGGAGAAATCCAAGGTCCTCATCTACCCTGTACTGCCGTCCTGTTAGATTTTTTTTTGTTACAGAAACGGTGAACCATTTGAGAGATGAAGAAGTTTTTATAAACCAATCAAACCTTCAGCCAACAATAATAGAAGACGTTCAAATGAAGCATATTTTGGAAATTATGATGATAGATAGAAAAGTAGCTACAGCCTTATCCGATGTAACATCCTCAAGTCAGTGTCGTTCTCTCTGTGGAGCTACACCCAAGGAAATGAATTGTATTGATCAAATTGCGTTGAAAGAAGTAAGCCCTAGTTGTTTAAAATATGGCCTCAGTACTTTGCATGCTTAGATACGATTTATGGAATTCATTCTCCATGTTTCATATAAATTGCCATTTCAAAAGTGGCAACCACGTGCAGCTGAAGATAAAATTGCATTTCAAGAACGAAAGAAAATGTTTCAGGATCGCCTAATGAACGAAATTGGCCTGGTTGTTGATTTTCCTAATCCTGGTGGTGCAAGAAATAGTAATACTGGACCTCAAGCAAGGTGTTTTTTTTCAAAATGCTGATACTTTTTCTCAAATTCTTGATATTGATTTAAATCTATTAAAAAGGCTCCATGTTGTTCTTGTCACACTGTTATCTAGACTTCAAATTGATTCAGAAAAATTTAGGATCTATTGCATTAAAACTGCAAAACTATTCTGTATAATTTATCCTTGGTATTATATGCCTCGTGCATCGCATTTTAATACATGGATATTTAGTAATTGATAAAATGGCTTTGCCAATGGGTGTGCTCTCCGAAGAGGCACTAGAAGCCTGACATAAAGACTTTAAAAAATTTCGACAAAGTTTTACACGTAAGTGCTCCTGTTTGAAGACGAATGAAGACTTGATGGGAAGACTTCTCTGCACATCTGATCCAATTATTAGTTCATTACGCACAAGTTCAACATCGTACAAACAGAAAATTTTGCCGGATGGAGTAGTACAGCTCTTAAAACTGTGTGATTCTGAAGTTTTGGATATTTAATAATGAAATACACAAGTGTGTGCAACTTATTTTTATTAACATTTTTGTAGAATGTTTTACAGGGTGTGCCAGTGAAAGTTGGAACATCTACTAAAATTTTTGTAAATATTTTAATAAAAATTATTTGAGACATGATAGAATTATAAAGCTATGAAGCTGAGATTATAAAGCTATGAAGCAGAGAATATTTGATAATGATGATAAAAATGATTATAAATTACAGTTTTACAAGTTTTTATTTTCTCATTTTAAAAAAGTTTTACTGGCACACGTCTATATATGCTATTTTAATAGGAATTCATTTCTAATTACTAATATGGTGTTAAAAATTTGTTAGATCCCATTACACTTTATTGATTAGACAAGTATGCATTTTTGGATATATCTTCTTATTACCTATTTTGGGCTAACCAACTTTAGTTGGGGTATGCTCTAATGCAATAGTAAGATACTTCAATCTGGTATAAAAAAACTACTTAATAATAGTAGCTGTAACCACACTTTTAAAATAACGTTATTAATTTTCTTTTTATAAAATAAACCACATACTTTTGTAGGTACATTATATTCATGTAATTTTTAAACTTTTGTTAATTTTTGATAAAATATTCAAAATTTGCATAACCGATTTGGTACAAATGCAACATTTGATAATAGTAGCTTTAATGCAACTTTACTTTTTGAATTTTATTATTAACCTTTCATTTTTACAGAAGAGCCTCATACTTTAGCACACCCTTTACACATGATTTTTAGATTTTTGTCAATTTAGTGAATAGAATTTTTAAAAAGTTTGTATCTTTTTTCTCTTTGTAGTTATTAATATTGATCACTTTTTCATGTTTCTGGTCCACTGTGTATTATTAGCAATGTTTTTTAATTTGTCTTTAATTAGAGAAATTATCTTTTTCAGTATATAGAATTCTCAAAAATTAAATTTTTTTTTTTTAATCTTTTGAATGAATAAGCTTGCTGCGCTAAAAGTTAGTTTTATATTTTTATACTTACAAAAAAATCCATTATTTTTGAGCAAGGAGACACAAACCTGATAATAATAATCATTTTGAAAGATAGTGCGTCAATATTTTCAAAGTCTACTGTGATTTTTTTTAGCGTTTTAAATTTAAAAGGTTGAGTAATAAAATAAAAATGAAAATAAAACAAGTAAAAAAGTTTTACTATTTAAACGTTTAAAATGAAACTGTTACAAGAACTCAAATAACGCCATTTTGATATAAAAAATACTAGACATTTTTTTTATATAAAACCTATTAAGAAATATTTATACTGTAATATACTTAATTACATTGACAACAAATATTGGTATTTAACAATATTATTAAATATACTAATAACAATATATTTTAAATATGTTTTGATATTTAACTTTTCTAATGTTAAACATTTTTATTTTTTAGTTCACTGCTTCTTAGCTCCAGGGGTGTTGAATTGCCTAAACTTTCTCAGCGATTGGAATCACTTGATGCAACTAAAACATTTGAACCTATTGAGCCAATTTTGGAAACAGACATTCAGAGTTTTCTTAAAAATGAACGTGAAAATGCCATTCTAGCAACAATAGAAGAAACAAAAAGAAAAACATTTGAAAATGCAGAGAAAAAGTTTTGGAATAGTCTTGAAGATGAATGGGAAAGAGAAAAACAAAAAATTTTGAATTCTTTGTTAACTGCTGGTAAAGAAAGCATGGTATTTCCTTTAGAAAGTAATAGATTTGAAGAATTTATTTTAACTAAAGGAAGAAGTTCGTTAACTGCTATTGAAATGTCCTTTGCACGTCAACTTTTTGTTTGTAATGAAATGACAATACAAAAACAGAAAGGGGGTTTTTTAGATGCTTTTAAACAAGTTGGTCAAAAATGTGAAGATCAAAATGCCAAAAATATTTGGATATTGTTAGAGCAGCTGCTTAATGACATTCCTTTAAATGAGCAAAATGTAAGAAAGTTACGCCAGTCTAATGTATTTCAAAATATTCTTGTAAAATCTTCAAAAAAGTTTTTGGAAGATAGGTACAGAGTCTTTATTGAAAAGTGTGTGTTTGATAATTTACAACAAGCATGTTTGGGGGGAGTACCAGGACTTTATAATTTAGTTTTAAGTTTTTTGAAAATAAAGTTATCTTCCAACTTATCAGGGTTTGAAGATGGGACTATAAATGGGGTTCCTGTTTGGCCTTTAGTTTACTTTTGCTTACGATGTGGAGATGTAAAAGCTACAGAGCAAGCTGCAGAAGCTCTTCCCCCTCAGTATTCTGACTTCAAGGCTTCACTAAAAGAGTTTTTATCTAGTCCTGACAATCGATTGCATACTAACAATGAGGCCAAATTGCGACTCCAATATAAAAGAAGCATTAGAAGCAGTTCAGATCCATTTAAAAGGATATTGTTTTGTATTGTTGGACAATGTGATAACACAGATAGTCATTCTGAAGTTATAAAAAAAACAGAAGATTATCTTTGGCTTAAGTTGAATCAAGTACAGTTTGAAGATCCATTACAAAATCAAGAAACAGTTACACTACAATACCTTCAGAAGCTTTTGCTTGAAGAATATGGTAAAGTCTTATAATATTGCATTCATTATTAAAAATTGATTATAATAAATGAATTTAATAGTCAAAAATTACATAATCATATTTAAGTTAAAATCCATTAACCTTTTTTTAGGTGAAACCCATTTTAAAGCTTATGACCAACCTTATCTGTATTGTCAAGTGTTATTTCTTACTGGTCAATTTGAGGCAGTAAGTATTTATACTTTAGTTGTTTATTAGTGTTTTAGTGTTATTAGTTATCTTATGCCAATTTTTTTTGACTAGGATTCAGGTTATATTTGACCTTTTCCCAGCCCCAGCTAAAGCAAGAGTTTTTAATTTTTTATTTTAATTCACCTCCCCAAGGCAAAAAAGGCCACTGCAGAGGAGGAGCCTACTTAATTGTGGTTTTACCCCTCTCTCAACTCTATTACTCCGAAACAGGAACCTTGAGGATCAATGCTGCTGTGGGGAGAAAAAAATGAGCACGTTACAGGGACATGATGGGGATCGAACTCTGAAACCCTTATAAAGTGAACGGTCTACCACTACACCACTACTATGTGATACTAAAATGAGTGAGTTATATGTCAACATTCATTTAGAGTTGTTAACATGAGTGTTGAGTCTTAATTTTTGTGTTTTAAGCTTTTAACTTTTATCTTTAGGTAAAGTTTGTAACATGAGTTTGTAATTGTTATTTTTTTTAAATGTAATATCTCTTTAATACCTTTAACATAATATATTTAAATATTATCATATAGTATTCTTGTTTGGCGGAATTTAAAATAACATAAGTTACTGTTATAATTTACAGCTTACGTTATAATTTAAAGTTTGAGTTGCAGTTACAGTGTAATGAGCAAGTTATAATGTAATAAGCAAGTTACTTATTTAATACTATTATGATAATACTTTTAGTAATTGTTTTTTCTTAACATGATACTTAAAAAAGTAAAAATAAAAATCCAAATAATATAAATACAATATTTAAAGCGCTTTAGTTAGTTATAGAAAACTACATCCATGTTAATGATAAAACATGTTTTATTTTTAAAGAGTATTGTGTGAAGAGCTTGCGTTAATATAAAATGTGTATAAAATGATTCAAGGTAAATAAATAAAATTGTTTTAAATTAGTAAATTAAAACATTATCGTCACAAAACTTTAACTTCATATTTGCACCAAAACATGCTATATCCATAGATCAAACAAGCTAGATGATACTTCTTGATCTTGTATTAAAAATTTTAGCATAATTAAGTTTTTTTATAATTGTTTTAGTATAATTAAATGAGCTATTAAGTATATTAAAATAGCTATTAAGTGTAGTTAAACATTAAAAATTGTAAGTATGATTATTATTTTTATTCAAATAATTTTAAAGTTGATGTTTTTATTCAATTTTTTTGTTTAAATTGTTTTGCAATAAAATGTGAAAGAAAAAAAATTTGATTTAGAAAGTTGAATATTATATTTACGTAACTTTAAGTAAGTTTAGGCTTAAATTATTTTTTGGAAAAAAATATATTTGAATAGAAAAATAAATAAAATATATTTTTCAGTTTAAATTTTTCTAAATTTAATATTTGATTTAATGTTTGCAATAACCACTAGTTTAATGTTAGCAATCTTCCTACTTTTAAAACTATTTTCATGAAACAAAAAATAAAGATACCTTTACAAAAAATATTTAACTAATCAAAATGTTTACGATTTAAATAAAAATTTCTTGCTATTCTTGCTTGCCACTGGGCATAGCGAGAATAACAAGACATTGCTATTCTCGCTGTCGAATTACAGACATTGCTGCAATTAAATTTATAATTATTAATAATATTGATAATAAGAGAATTTTAGAAAACTAAAATTCTTTTGTTCAAATTATTTATTTAAATAAAAAAGTTCCTAAAAACAACTTGCGTATAGAAAATGTTAAATCTTGATATGATAAAAATTAACAAAAAAATAAAAATAAACCTCAAAAATATTTCTTTAAAAAAAAACTAATCATGATGATGTAAAAGGCAACACAATATGCTTAATTCAGTTTTTTTTTAAACAGTTTTTTGAATGAAAGTAGTTAACAAGCTTTTAAAAGCATTTTGATTAAAATATATATATACTGGCCTTGGCATAAAGAAAATTGTCCAGCACGATATTTTGCGCCCGTAAAACTCAAATATTTTTTTAGCATGTGTGATTATGCGCGCTCATCATTAAGTTATTGGGAGTGATCTTTTATTTTTGGATATGGGTGTTCCACACAATTTTATTAACTTTTAATTTGTTATACAGTGTTCTTTAGACAAATATTATAAAATTATTATTTAGCAGAGCACTGCCTGACAAAACGTTTAAAATTCTTTTGACTTCCTAAATACTTATTTATTATTTGATCGCATCTGATTGTGTTTTTTTTCTCACCTAGTTCTTAATGATCTTGTTTTAAAGAATAAATTTATCTTTTATGTATTTTCTTTGTTATTGTCTTCATCTTTAACTTAATAATACAGTCAATTTTTTTATTATTATATCAAATTTATTTGAAAGAAGTTCATAAGCTTTCATTTTTTTCATCGTTTCATTCGTTCAATTAAAATATAAATTCATGTTTTTGCATCATTAAAACATTAAAACAATAAAATAAAGATTTCTTTTTGTTAAAACATTCAATGCTTTTTTGTTGCTTTTATAACTTTTTTAGCAAATGTTTTCACAAACTTAAACTTTTCTTTTTCTCAATAAATTTATAATTTTAATTAAGTTATAAATAATATAAGTTATAATTTTAATAACAAAAGCTTTTTAAATTTAATTAAGTTTTACCGAAAACATTTCTAATGCTCTAATTTACCGAATGACGTAGGTTAATATTTAGAAACCAAGTTTTTTAAAATGTTTTACTTCGACTGCCAAAACCCAATTAAAAATATGTGAATAGTGATTGTTTTGTTTTTAATGGTAAGCAAACTATTCCATTTAAAACACAACCTTTTTAGAAATATTTTTTTCAAAATTAAATAAAAAACTTTTATTATTATACATATGGTTTTTAGCAAATGCTTTTACAAAATTAAATTAACAACGTTTCTCATAATTTGTGATTATTACACAATTTATATTATTAATAAAATTTTATTTAATTTTGTTAAATATTTGCTGTAAACGTTTTATATAAAGAAGTCTCATTCACAAATCACCATTCATTGTTCATAGAAATTTGTGCTCTAATTTCAACAGAATGATGTAAGTTAACATTAAAAAATGAGTTTTTTAATTGAAGTATAACTAACATTTTACCTCAGTTGAAAAAACGCAATTAAAGATATGTGAATAGAGATTATTTTGTTTTCAACAACAAGCGAACTTTTTTGTTTAGTTAAACAAGAGTCTTTAGCAAAAACTTTATATAAAAAATATTTAATATAAAATCAAGTAAACCATTATTAGTTTTCTCCCTCCCAAATTTTTTGGACAAGCATAATTTTTTACATTCATAACTAAATTAGCGAGCATTTTTTATCCCGCCTGCAATTAATAAATATTCCGTTCCCAAGCGTGTTTCAAGTGACAGGAGCGATCATGCCAATGCCTGTATATATATATATATATATATATTATATATATATATATATATATATATATATATATATATATATATATATATATATATATATATATATATATATATGTATATATGTATGTATATATATATATATGTACATATATATATATATATATATATATATATATATATACACTTACTAAAGCGTGTTTTGATAAGCATTTGCTCACTTTTTCTGCTTACCTTAAGCTATACCATTTTTTTCAAAAAAGAAGAAGAAAAAACAAAGAATGATGAATGAAACGATTGCTTCTTCATCCCAAACCCTCATTCGATGTAGCAGCACTCCACTGCGAGTAAGGCTATTTGTCAGTCAATGTATGTACTGAAGCCCCCAGCAGCAGGCTATTTCAGTATGACGTCAGATTGCTTACCTTAGTATGTAATACTATATATATATATATATATATATATATATATATATATATATATATATATATATATATATATATATATATATATATATATATATATATATATATATATATGTATATATACAGGCATTGGCATTGGCATATATGTATATATATATATATATATATGTATATATATATATATATATATATATATATATATATATATATATATATATATATATATATATATATATATACAGGCATTGCCATTGGCATATATGTATATATATATATATGTATATATATATATATATATATATATATATATATATATATATATATATATATATATATAGCCCTTGTATATATATATAGGGTATAGTAGTCTAATAGTGCGACTTTTATATTTTGGTTATTGTAGTGTAAATATTATTTTTTTATAAAAAATTTTTTTTTTATTAAGTAGTATGATTTTTTATATTTTGAGTTTATTGTATTAGTTATAATTTATTTAGGGTATAGAATTTCTTTCAAGGATTGATCATTGTCGATGTCATGCTGTTCACCTGGCTATTGTCTTGCAAAGCTATAATCTTCTTTTAATGCCTGATTTAATCCATACACAACTTTGTGAGTGTTTTTTATTGCATAGTTTTTATTTTTTAAATTTTTGTTAGATATTTATTATAAACAATTTAGTTATTTGTTTGTTTGAAAATAAGAATTTGTTATAATTTACTAATTATATATTTTTTTTTTTTTTTTTTTTTTTTTACATTATTCACCTCCCCAAGGCCCGAGGGGGCCACTACAGTCGAGGAGGCTACTCATTTTTTTGTGTTTTTTATTTTTTTGTTGTATTTCGTGGTACAACCCTCTCTCAACTCTTTAACTCCGAAACACGAACCTTGACAAGCAAGGCCGCTGTGCGGAGAAACTAACTTGAGCGCGGTACTTCCAGGGACGTGGTGGGAGTCGAACTCCGAACCTCTCGCTTACAAAGCGAGCGCTCTTACCACTACACCACTGCCGCATTTGAGAGAATCAATGTTATTATCAAAGGTTTCTAATTATAAGTTAGCTGTAACTTTAAAAATTGTTTACAATTCCAATTGAACAGCTTTTTTCTAAAAGGCGTCAAGTCCATTTTTTCAAAAGTTGTGTTTTTTCAACAATTTTTTATTGATAAACGTAAAAATCTTGTATTTTTCTCAAAACAATAAAAATGTGACTTAGCACCTTATAACCTTATAACACTCTTCAATTCTATATAAGTCATGTAATTTATTAAAAACAGAGTCAATAAAAGGGTCAAAATTGTAAGTAGTCTAAGTCAAATAAAGTCAATGCAAAAACTTTTAAAAGTTTAAAACAAATAAAACAATTAGAACAAATACAAATTATATTAAAAATGACATTTTATTGTATTTATTAATTTACTATTTTCTTTGAAATTTCTTTTTTTCTTGACTTGTTGTAGTATCTGTTGATCCGCTTGATCCACCTCCTTTAAAACGTCTGAACTTTGCTAGATTGATAACAATATACACTCGTAAATTTGAAACTACTGATCCTCGTGAAGCATTGGAGTATTTTTTTCTCTTGAGGTATTTTATCTTTTTTATTATCTTTTTTTAGCGTATTGTTAATTAAGAAAATTTGTTTTTTATTCTTTACCATTTTAAGTGTTGCATTTAATAGAAGTAAATTTTAGGGAGGACCTAATATTAAAGTTAAACCTCATTCTTCATGGATTTTTTTATAAAGATGCTCAAAATAAATCATTACTTATATTTGAAATTCTTTTAAAAATATTACTTATTGTAGGGGCTTGACTGGACCTAATGGACAAAATTTGTTTGCATCATGCATTAGTGAACTCGCTCTAGAAACAAGAGAAGTAAGCATTTAAAAAAAAAAAAAAAAAAGATAACAATATATTGTTTCATTTCTATTTTTTAGAAGTTCTATTTTTTCTGAGTTATATATTTTTTGAAAATTAAGGATAAAAGATATCTGTCTTGAGAGTAAAATAGTAATATTTTTTTTAGTTTGAAACAATTCTGGGTTGTATTAAAGCAGATGGTACCAAAAAGGTATTTTTAAAAAGATTTTTTGATATGATAAAAATACTTAATAGCTTAGTCACAGGGCCGATGACATGGGTTTTGAAGTGGTGGTGATGGTTGTGTGTGTGTGTGTGGGGGGGCACAATTACCAAAATGTGAAAAAAGTTCTCTATATCTAGATTTTTCTTAAAAATAAAAAAAAATAAATAAAAATAGGTCCTTTATAAAAAAGTGTGTGTGTGTGTGTGTGGGGGGGGGGGCATGTGGTTCCGCCTTCATCCCCCCTTCCTCTGTGTCGTCGGCCCTGAGTCAATAAGCTAAAGAAAGTTTATTAGATATTATACTTATAGAAAATTTATTAGATATTATAATTTATTAGATATTATGAAGGGGTAAGTTAAATTTGGTTTCAAATAGTTCTAGAAATGTTGTACAAAAATTGTTGCATAAATAGATTTATTTCTATTTCCCCATCAATTGTTTTACCTCATAAGTTTTGTTGTACAACCAATGTTAAGTTGTGCAACTTCTTTATTTTTGATTGTGTAGGTTATTAGCATTCTTGCTTGTTCACTGAGCATACAATTTTTTAATGAACATACCAAAAGGCATACAAAGTGTTTTTTTTTACTTTTTCACTGCATGATCAGATCATAAAATGCTTATATTATGAGTAAAGTTGAATTATAAAAATTGTTTGTCATTTTAGCCGTGCTTAGTTTTAGTTATGTCTTTATTTTTTTTAGTTTTAAAGTTTTTTTATTTATCACAAGAATATCATTTTTTTTCAAAATAATATTTTCATCAAAAATTGTGCATAGAATACATTATTTATTTCATTAATTTTTATACTTTTGATTATAAGTACTTAATACAACTTTTTATGTGTCTTAGCTTTTCAAACTTAAATTATGTAATTTAGACATAGTGTTGTCTCTAAAATTTTTAACTTTTCAACATGAAATTATGTATATTAGATCCATTGCTAAGAAGTACCTAAAACTTTCATAAGCTTAAATTTGTTACTTTTATTTTGAAAGTAAAAAAGAAATTAGTTCAGTTTAAGTTTTAACTGTAACATCTTATTGTTTGCCACTTTTATGATTAAATATGTTTGTTTTTTAAATAGTCCATTTAATTTTTTTATATGTATTTTATAATTTTTATGCAAAAAAACTGTATAAAACAAAAGCAAAGTTGTTTGTTGTCATGGCAAAGTTGTTAAAGAAATTAAATGTAAATGTTAAAGAAATTAAATGTAAATGTATATGTCTATATATATTGTTGCAATCTATTTTTTGATTTAGCCCGGATGTATATCAAAGTTTAAAGTTGATGTTAGTAATATTGTATGCACTGTTGCTAAAGATGCAGAAAGTAAAGGACAGTTTGAAGATGCGACTATGCTTTATGATTTAGCAGATGTATTTTTTTTTTTTTTTTCAGTGTTAAATATTTTATATTTTTAGCTTAATTAGCTACATGATTTTTAATAGAGTTTTTGTTTCAGAATCATGAGAAAGTTCTTGAGCTGTTGACTACTCTGCTCTCTCAGGTAGTTTCACTATTGTTATTGCAATTTATCACAAATAGATAATAAATAATAAGATAATTAATGTAAGTTTATTAATTAATTAAGAAAACTAATATTTGTTCATTTTAGTTTTTAAATTACAAAACAATTTTGAAACACTTTTCTCTTAGTGAGAGTAACAAATCTTTTAAATTGTTATTTTTTTTTACTTTTTTAAGCCTTGAACGAGTTTGATAATTTTAAAATGGTTTTTTAATTGTTTAGAATGTAACTTAAATTTTTAACTTTTTTTTTTTAATCTTATTTACCCCCAAATCAAGAAGACTAGGAAAGTTGTAAGTCGTATGTAAGGCTGTTGACAGGTATGTGGGTAAGTGGTTGGTTACTGCCCAGGTAACATTTTTAAATGACGGATATGCATCATTTGATAAGTTTCAAATTCATTTTATTCATTTCTAAACCTTAGAACTGTTAAGTGTAATATAACAATTTAGCTGATATAGTGCAGTGGTTAGTGTACTTGCCTCAGAAGCTAAAGATCCATGGTTCAAGGCCACCTTTGAGCAAGTTTGATAAAGATATTCATAGCAGATGCTAACTTTGCAATTGATTGTGTTTTTCATGAGAGGTCTGTGGTAAATGATAATACAAGAAAATGCACTGAAGTGGATTTAGTGAGAAGGTTGCCATTCATCAATATCAGAATGTCAACAGTATTGCTATAGTTATTTGCAGTAAATAACTGAGTTTTGTTGGAGTTAAAATTCACAAGTCAATGCCAGCCCCAAACTGTTACAGAAGTGAGATCAGATTCAAACTGTTACAGAAGTGAGATCAGATTCAAACTGTTACAGAAGTGAGATCAAATTCAAACTGTTACAGAAGTGAGACCAAATTCAAACTGTTACAGAAGTGAGATCAAATTCAAATTGTTACAGAAGTGAGATCAAATTCAAATTGTTACAGAAGTGAGATCAGGTTCAAGCTGTTACGGGGGTGGGGTCGGGTTCAAACTGTTGCGGAGGTGAGGTCAAATTCAAACTGTTGCAGGAGTGAGATCAAATTCAAACTGTTACAGAAGTGGGATCAAATTCAAACTGTTACAGAAGTGAGATCAAATTCAAACTGTTACGGAGGTGAGATCAAATTCAAACTGTTGCAGGAGTGGGGTCAAATTCAAGATAGGCTGTTCTAAGAGATCAAAAAGAAAATGCTTTTTGTCAAGTACTATGTTCAGTCACAAGCAAATAGAGGCACTTCAGATATAAGATTGTTAGGAAGATCATTAATGTAGATAAGAAACTTTTCAGGACCTAGGATAGAACCTTAAGAGCTGCTGCTCTAAACAGCTTCTTACGAGAGCTTTTGGTTTTTGCATGGGCTATCTATTTATTTATTAAAAAAATTGCTTATTAAATGCAAAATTTAGTTTTATATTTGTTACAAGAATATATACATAACAAGTGTCATTTATTGTGCAGTGAAAACATTCTTTAGACAAGCGTTGTTTTGGGTTTTCACACTAGCTATTCATTTTTTTAATAGCAACATTACTTATTCAATAAAAAAATTGACAAAGAGCTGTAGAAGTTTTTACTGTTTATAAAAAATGTTTTATATATCTTATGGTAATAGAATGCAGTCATTTTAAGAATTATTACAATAGTTAAAAATTCCACAGTAAAAGTGAATAATATATTAAAATAATTAATTTATAATTCATTACATAAAATAAAAAATTATTATGCAATAATTTAAATTGTGATAATTTTATATTTTTTTATGCAACAACTGTGCTTTTTAAAAAGCATTGCAGTTTATTATGCAATTTATTTATTTTTAATAACTTTGTTTTTCATTTTAGTTACAATTATAATTATACTTTTGAAAAAAAAAAAAAAAACTTTTCTGAGAGCTAAAAATTGCTCCTGTAAACCATTTTAGGGGAGTGTGGACAAGAGTCCCACCGAGGCCTGTATTAATGTATCTATGTATGTATGTATGTACAGTCAGCGAAATTCAAGTCGGCATCCATCAATGCAGATGCAAAAGCCGACCTATCTTTGCTTTAGGATGGCATACTGCTGACCTGAATATCCTAAAGTGTCGGCATGCAAATTGAAATACATGTAAAAAATATATATAATATTCGTTAAATATTAATTTGTAAATTTTTTATTGAAATTACTTGCTTTTCAAGTTTGACATGTTTTATTAAAACAAACATTTATTCATTTTTTTTTAATTCATTTTTTCTTTTTTTATCAAATTTATTCAAGCATAGCAAGGTTAAAAATTTTTTTTTTTCAAATGCCTGTTGTTCTCACGCTTTTTTAAGTGCAATTATTATTTTATGAAGTTATATTTATTATTTTTATTTTATTAGTTCAAACCATTTAACTAATAAAATAATTCATTTCCATGTTTATGGTTTTTTTTTTTTAATATTATTTAAGATCAGAAAGTATATTAGGAAAGTTTAGCCTTGGTATAGTTTTGTTAAACACATGCCGAGAAGAAACGTTAGTTACAAAACTTTTTTTTAATTTGATAAAAGTTAAGGCAAGAGACGCAACAGTAATACTGTAAGCAAACTCAAAACAAGTCATAATGCCTAACAGAACTGTCATTGAAAAATGAATAAATCCTGCGGATTTCAAACTGATGATTCAGGTTAAGTAATTTTAATATGGTGTAAAATGAGAATATTCAGAACTTTTAAAAAATTGTCATAATAAAGGCTGTGTTAAATTAGCAACAAAAGCGTTTGTATAGTTTTGTATAGTTCATACTATACCACCCCTACTACTGGAGAATTAAATGCTGAAATTCTCATAAAGCTTAAACAACGAGATGTAAACTGTCTACTCATTTTGTTAAACAATTTTCTGTTTTAAACAAAATCTTCGCCTACAGCACATAAACTAAATTTGTAATTCTAAACGAGGTTCTTTCTAAGAGCAATCTAAAAAACCAATTAAAATGTAACAAATAAACTATGACCATTTTTTTTGTAAAAAAAAAACAATTTCAAAACTAAAAAATTACTAATTCATAAATTTGCTATATACTTAAGTTACTACACAAAATTTAATTACTACATTCTTTAAAATATTATTGTCTGAAGCTATGCTATTATAAAGCAATCCTTTTATAATCAATTAATCATTACCCCTATCGTTACAGAAAGCAAAAAATCCATATTTTTTTTTTGCCGACCTGACGTTGGCTAAGGATGGCATGTAAGGGTGGCGATCCCGGGATCCCGAAATCCGGGGATTTCGTAAAAAATGTTCATCCCGAAATCATGGGATTAGTCTCCGAAATTTCCCGGGATTTCGGGATCTTCAAAAAAAAGGAAAGGTTAATAAAGTTTAAGCTTATAATTGTAGTTTAGTAATTTTTTTATTGTCTTTGGTATAGTAGCTGTTTGGTTGTGTAATCATTTATTATCTTTCCAATGTTTTCCTTTTAAAACTCATTTTCTGTATTTTACTAAAAAAAACTCAAAACATTATTGCTTGTCTGCAAAATCTATATATGTTTATATATATATATATATATATATATATATATATATATATATATATATATATATATATATATATATATATATATATATATATATATATATGATTAAAATTAAAAATAAATAATAAAATAAAATTAATGTATAACTTTTATTAAAAACTCTTGCTCTTTCCACAAGCAAGCGCTTATATTTTTGTTATTTTTTTAATATACTAGTTTTAATATTATACTATATATAATATAACGTATTATATTAAAACTAGTATATTATAAAAATAGATAAAGTTTAAGCGCTTGCTGGTAAAAAGAGCAAGAGTTTTTAATAGAAGGTATACATTAATTTTATTTTGAACTTTCTGCTTCCAAAAGTATGAGCGATTTTAATTCCAGTTTTATATCCATTCATTTTAATTTTCAAATGTGTGATTTATGAAAGTTTTTTTTAACGTCATACATATTTATATATTTTTTTTAATTTTAATTTTTATTTATACTGTGTTACCATTTTAAGGTATTGTTTTATATAATACTTATAATACTTATAAATTATCATTAAATTAATCATTTTTAAGTGTTTGATAAGTGCTTAAAAAGTATTCAATTGCATTTGCGTTTTTTTCTATTCAATCCTGGGATTTACCGGGGACAAATTTCTTAATCCCGAAATCCCGGGATTGAAAATTTCCGGGATTTTTGCCATCCCTAATGGCATGCTTGTGTCGACCTGAAATCCTTTGAATTTCGCTGACTGTATGTATATATGTATGTATTTATGCATATATATATATTGAAATATTTTTTTTTTATTTTTTTATTTTTAGCTTGTTCCACTTGCTAATAGTCCACAATCATCTCGAGAACGAATTCAAATATTAGCACGATCTGTGGCTGAGCGCTATAAAACACATGGTCACAATGGAAGCCGCACTAGAAGTTCAACATTTTATCTTCTTATAGACTTAATGTATTTTTTTGATTTATATCACGAACAACAGTTTGATACAGCATTAGATGTAAGTACATTTTGATAAAAGTCAAATAATAAGTTAAAAACTATATTTCCTAAGAATAAAGAAAAACTTTGCTGATATTTATTATATTAGGATTTATAATTTTTAATGTTCTTTTGTTCTTTAGTGTTATTTTTTGTAATAAACAAATAATTTGTTTAAAAAAACTAATTAAAATGTTTAATTAAGAAATAAAGTTATAAATGATAAACAATTAATTGACTCCGAGAAAAAAAAAATATGTGACAGAATGTTCAATTTTTAAAAAAAAAGCACATTTTTTGTAACCTATTGAACTAAGCCTTGAGTTATTATAGGTAGATGATAGAATCAAAAACCTATTCTGGCGTTTGATGTTTTGTGTAAATTGATGATCGGAATATAACAAAAAAAGTGTTTGCATCGATTTTTTAACACTTTTTAACAAAAACTATTTTTTTAACTTATTGCCTGCCTAATAAGTTAAAAAATACCTTTAGTCGATGTGCATGTTTTACCTATTTAGTCAGTTGATGTATGAACACTCCCTTCATGTTTTACCTATTAGGTCAGTCGATGTATGAACAATCCCTGAATGGTCTACCTACTTTGTCAGTTAATGTATGTACACTCCCTGCATGTTTTACCTATTTAAGTCAGTCGATGTAAGTACATTTCGCGCATGTATGTACGCTCCCTGCCTAGATTTCATGTACATTATATAAGCAATAGAACATAAAATAAGCTTGACATGACATCAACATTCTAACTGCATTGTTTTACATATATACAAATGTAATTCTCTCTTGTATAAAGTTAATTTTATATCAAATTCTTAGACAATACAAAAGATAAAACTGATACCTCTAAAACCCGATGAAGTTGAACAGAAAGTCACTTCTTTTAAGCAATATAGTGATGAAGTAAGTTTTTTATACTTTTTTAAAATATACTGATTCATTCAATATATTTAATATTTCTACTGATCTATTTAATACATTTAATAATTCAATAAAATTAATAAAAACTTTTTGATTCGGAAAATGACGAGTATAGCTTGTTCTGTTAATTAACCATTCAACAAAATTGGATTTATGGCTCTTAAAAGATTTGCCTTTAAATTAATTTATATTAAAATGAATGTTCTGCCAATTACAGAACATAAGTCACTTAATCCGCATAATTAAAGAACATAAGTTATATACATAAGTCATTTAATCCGCATAATTAAGCTTGATTTTTAATGTTGGATTTAAAATTTAGAATTATTTCAAGTCGGCTAAAACTTTGTATGGTTGCTAGAGACAAGTAAGTCTTGAAGACTTTGCATGAAAAATAAAGGCAAAAATTTGTATCAGTTGTTCTTTAGGACATCTGGTTTGATAGGTTGATGTTATAGAGTTTAAATGAATTTTGCTTGGAATTTTCACTGCATCTTTTGAAGCTATCTATATTTTATTTTATTGATTTGTACTTAGCCTGAAATTCAATTTTAATATATTTGGTTCTAGAATTTCTATTACTAAAATGATATATTTCAATGAAAATAATTGATGTCGCTATTTTCATTGAAATACAAAGGATATAAAATTCATTTTAATTTATAGTTAATTAAAGTACACTTAATCAAATGTGGCATTTATAAGAATATTTCATCTCTAGAATGTAGAACTAATAGTTTTCTTTATTTTGTATTTGTTTTATTTCTAAAGGTGCGTCAATGTTTACCAGATGTACTATTGGCTACTATGAGCATTTTATATGGTAAATATAAAAAATGCAAGTGAGTAGTTTTTCATCATTTAATATTTTAAGGATGATGATGATTTAGGCTTGGAAATAATCTTATATCATTCTAATTATATAATTCTAGACTTGGACAGGCTAATATTATCAGCATTTCTAAAGAAAAAGAAGACACTGTAAGAACACATGGTTAAAACCATGTTTTTTTTAACTTTTGTTTCTTTTTATGCATACTAAAGACATTATAAAAATTTTTTTAAATTTCATATAGTACCTAAAAAGTATACGCAATGAAGCACGCTCATTAGTAACATTTGCTGGTTTATTACCATATCGCATGCCTGGTGATTCTAATGCACGTCTTGTTCAAATGGAAATAATGATGAATTAAAGCTATAATTTTCAGCCAAGAGTTGTTAAAAGAAATATAAAAAAGAAAATATCTATACTTTTTGATTATTACTTTTTTTAATTTTATGTTTTTTAGTTAAATTGTGCTTTTTGTATGAACTTTTCTTATTTCAAACGAAGATACATTACATATTCTAAGTAGCATTGCATTTCAAAGTAAAACAAATTGAAGTTATCAAATATTTTTTTATGGGATAAAAATATGAGGAGTATTTTCAAAAATACTCATATTTATCACAGAAATCATCAAAAAAACTTTTGATCCTGTTACATTTGATCCTGTTACATTTGTTGAACCTAAAAAACTTGTTGGTAAAAAATTTTTTTTCCCTAAATTCAATTTTATTTGTTTGTTAGTTGTAATTAATTATTTGTTTCTTAGTTGTAATAAATTATTTGTTTCTTAGTTGTAACTATTTGTTTGCTTGTTAGTTGTAAATAGTTATTTGTAATTAATTATTTGTTTGTTAGTTGTTATTAATTATTTGTTTGTTAGTTTCAGAGTTTCATTTAATGCATCATTGTTATTACTTTTACAACATGTTACAAAACTAGAATTTTTTTTTTAAGTTATCTTTGAATCTGTCATGTAGAAAACACATCTGTCATGCAGTATCCAAATTTGTCATGCAAGAATCCTAAAATGTTTTGAATCTTCTAGTCTCTGTTTGTTGATGTTATTTACAATAATTGCTTTTAATATAAATTTTAACTCTTTAAAAATTACAACCTATTTAAAGTTCAAAAAATAAAATTTATAAATAATTTTTTTTTTTTAAAGTTTTTAAACAAATCAAATTCATAAAATATTCATAAAGTATTATATGGCACTCAATCTGGTGTTGGCTTGTGGCACTCAATGAAGTGGTGGATTGTGGCTTCTCTGTTTGCAATTGCTGCAGTTTTTGTTGCTTGGAAAAACTATTCATTTACTCATGGTATAAAATATTATTTAGTTAAAGATTAAAAAAAAAAATTAAAAAAGCAAAAACAAGTCATTTTTAAGTATTGTAAAATCATCAAATATTGTAAAATCAAATATCAAATATTAAATATTGTAGTATAATCAAATAATTTATGCTAGATAATATAATTAACAATTATGCAATAGTTAATTTATATAGGATTATGTATAATTAATTTAGTTTTAATTCATGTAATGGGTCATTTATAAAGAGTTTCAAGATAATTTATGTAGTATTAATTGTTGTTTAAAAATATATAATTTTTATGTATATATTTATGTAATTTTATAAATATATAGTTTTTGTCTTCAAATATAGTTTTCAAAATTTATTTTCTAATAAAAACTTTTAGATTTTTAAATTCATCCTTTAAAATGTTTTTAAAATAAAAATTATAGGAAATTATGAACTAATAATTGGTATTTTGTCTTCTCGAAATCATTTTGACAATAGAAGAGTTATTCGAAATGGGCTAAAAGATTCTCTGTCCCCAAAGTAAATTTGTTTTAGTCATTTTTTGATGTTTTTTTTTTAATGTTTGTATTATTTAAATATTTAAATATTTCCCATAATACAAATAATCCCAAAATATTAATGCAGCAAATTATTAATAAATCATTTGAAACAAACAGATTCAGCCCAAACCACTAACTTTTTATACTAACTATTAGCTTAAATAGTTTTAAATATTTTAAAGTTATTTAAAAAATTAGTTAATGTAGTTTTAAATATTTTAAAGTTATTTATAAAAATATAGTTAATGTAGTTTTAAATATTTTAAAGTTATTTAAAAGTTTTAAGTTAATAAAAAATACATTTGAGCTGTGTGACCAATGAAATAAAAACCTGATAGTTTTCATCATTCACATTTTCTACAATAACCAAATAGTTAAGTTATCAATTTGTTATATATTTAAAATGTGATAAAGTTGAAAAATTAGAATTGCTACAAGTTGTGATTTTGCTAAATATCTAATATTTAGATAGACTTTTGGTTAAACAGGGTGACCACAGCTCCTCTAAAATCCTCTAATGTACTCTTTTTTCAAAATCCTCCTCTAAAATTCTCTATTATCCTCTAAAAAATAAAAATATAAGATAAAATCTCCTCTTTTTTATTTTTTCATTTCTTGGTGGTTCAAAATTTGTAGTCTGCAAAACTGGTTAACGTCTGAAATGAGGATTGGGTTGTAAAAAATCAATTTCAGCAAATCCATGTCATCTAACATAAAAAATTACATTGTTGGCCAATGTCCACACCCCAGTTATGTGGAAACATGGACATTAAACCTATAAAAAAAATCCTCTAAAATCCTCTATATTTGTTCAAAATTTTGTAGTTTTGCAAAAAAAATTCTTTAAATTAAATGCAAAATTTCCTCTAAAAATCCTCTAATATTCTCTTTTTCTTATAAAATTTTTGTGGCCACTCTATTAAAATATTTAATATTTATCAATACTTGGTAATATTTTGTAAATTACTGGTTTTGACTTTCATTATTGAAGTGTGCACAAAATAATAGTTCATGTAAGAGGTCATGTAAGATAAATAAATATGGAATGTCTATAAACAAATATAGACAAATAAATATGGAATATATAAGATAACATGCTATTAACCTACTCAAAGTTAAAACAAATGCGCCTGCAACGACTTTTTTCAATTTTGTGTGATAAAATTTGAATCAACAAATGAAAACAAATTGTTTTAACTTACCCCTGACAAATTGTAACTTACCTCTGACAAATTTTATGTATTAAATATGCTAATTTTTCTTTTATAAAATTAAAATTTTTATGATTAACATTTGTTATGCATTATTTTTCTTCCCTCCTTATGATTATATATTAGGTCCAATGGTTTCCTAATCTTTGTTATGAGTAATTTTTCTTCCCTCATGATTATATATTAAGTCCAATGGTTTGTTAATATTTGGCTAAATACCAAATAGTAAAAGCATTCGCTGGATATTAAAAAGTAGCAGAATCTTTGAGGCGTCTCTAATAAAAATATGACATTCTATAAATACGCAATAAATAAAACATTTTAAGTGGTTTATGTTTTTCTTGTTGTTGTTGATAATTTAGCTATAGTATTTATTATATTTTTTTAATGTTTTTCCAGTGTTGTATCATTTTTTTGATAAATCTGTATGTTGATTGATTTCAGGTTTACAAATGTTACCACTAAATGATTGTATTCTAATTCATAATATTCTAATTGAAAATGTGGTCAAAAGATATCTTTCTATTTATTTTTTAAGAGAGAATTTTATTCTTTTAGTGTATTATTAAAGTTTATCGTAAGCAAGAATGCATGCAATATTCCTCCAGAAGATCGTGTTGATGAGTTCAGATGTGAAGCATCACACAGCTCTCACAAAAAAATAGATTATGGTAATAAAAGTTTTAGAGCTTGAAAAAAAAAATTCTATACATTTAAATTAAGTTTTAGTTCAATTAGTTGTCAATAATATGTTCTTTAAATAAAAGTTCAGGGTCTTCATTTATTTTTTCTGCTGACTCATATACTAACATTTCTTTTAAAATGGTCTTAAATTTGTCATAAATTTAAGTACTGCTTTTTAGCTGAATTTTGAATTACTTCCTTGAGTTTGTTTTTAGATGAAAAAATAGTTTTTAATTAGACTTTTCGAGCCACACGCATTTTGAACAAATTCCAAATCATATGGATTTGTTGGAAAAAGTCTCAAAAACAGTTTTTTCTGGACTTCTGATGTATCAAATTTGAAGACACAATAAAAACTTCATCCTTTTGAGCATCAGACAAGCATTCATTCACTTTTTTTCTTTCTTTCTTCTCTCTCTTCAAAACATCATAAATTTTCACTTTCATGGCAATTTTATTCTCAACATTTCTTTCAGCTGAAAAAAGAGCTGTATTTTTAAGCAATGAGATTTTTAAACTAATTTGATTGGTTTAAAAGAACAAGCAAAATGAAGGTGTAATATTTTTATAGCAAAATTAATTTGTAACTTTACAATAACACAAAAGATATTGTAACTATAAACCAAAATTTGCTATAAATTATAACCAATATAAATTATAATTATTATCAATTACAATAGTTGTGAATTATAATATTATAAATTAATAATTATAATAATTATAAAACCTGCAAATATTGTTTATAAGTTAACACTAACTAACAAATATAAGTAAAAGATTTGAATTTGAAAATATAAAAAATATAAGGACAAATCTTTATAGACCAATTCTTCAATTTTAGTTATACTGAATTATTTTTTCTTTTTTATTAAAATTTTTATATTTTCTTTTATCTTTGTATTTGTATTTTCTTTTTATGTTAAATTTCTAGTACATAAAAGTTATAAAATATAAAATATTTCATTGTAGAAATGCATACAACATATTATCTCCAGAACATTCCTACAGATTTTCAACTCATCAACGCTGGTGATTATGGACTTGATTTTCAAGTATAATTTCTCTGTTTGAATAAGAAATATACAGCAAGTAATTTTTGTAAATCTTTCTTAAGAAATAGGCTACAAGTTTTTAAAATTTTAATAAAAAAATGTTAATAATGGAACTTTTTTGAAAAGTATGCGACTTAGTAAAAGTGTGTATTGATTTCATAATTACACTATGTAAAAGCCTTTCATATTATCTTTTTACATATAATTTTTACATCTAATTATTAATAAATTGTTGCATTATTTATTCCTTTATTATCATTTTGAGAGCATTTTATATAGCATGAGTTTAATAAAAATCAATTTCATTCAAATGGGATTATTACCACATTAGATTTTTATATCTTTATATCTATCTATTTAATCTTTATATCTATCTATTTTTAAATGATCATGCACTAGTTTTTTTTTTTACAAAATGTTCTATTTTTAAAGTTTTAATATTCTGCTGTTAACTTAAGTGTGTGTGTGTGTGTGTGTGTGTGTGTGTGTGTGTGTGTGTGTGTCTGTGTTATATCAGTCTTTGTGGATATTTTTATTTTACTCATTAACTTTAGTAGTTAACCTCAATAAAGTAATTGATGTCAGTATCTCAATACTACCATACTGAAAATAAAACGTATTTTATTTTAAAACCATTTTACATTTTTTATGCAAGCTCTATAAAATAACAATAAAGAAATACGAGTGGTTGTAATCCAAAAATACTAAATTGGTGATTGCACTCCAAAAACACCAAAAAAGTAATTGCACCCCAAAAACAACATAAAAGTAGGAAGAGTTGGGATTTTTTCTAGGGACACATAAAAACTTTTTTATTATTTATTTAAGAAAGATAAGCCTAAGTCAGCTTCAAAAACCACATTGACTAAATTGGCTAATTTATGAACTATTTGGAATTATAATGTGATTTTTTGAAGGAGATTATTACAATAAATTGCTGTTAGGATGGTTGTATTACTGCTAACTTATATTTTGAGGAACACTTCAAGTGTGTCAAAAAAACACATGTGCTCCAAAAAAAACACATTGATTTATTGATGAATTTTGAAAAAAATTGAAATAATTTTTTTTTAACTAATTATTTTAGGTGCTCCAAGAAATCCTTATGGTCTTATCACAGAGCACCGCGGAAGTGCATTTGAAGTTCACGCTTCCTTCCTTACCGATATTATTAAACTTGCCATGGCAATTTTAAGCAATGAGATTTTAAACTAATTTGATTGGTTCAAAAGAATAAGCAAAATGAAGGTGTATTATTTTTATAGCAAAAGGTAGCATTGAACTATGGGTCTCTTATTTCTGAGGCAAGTGCGCTAACCACTGGGCTACAGCTGCTCAAAAAATAAGAACAGGTGTTTACTTATAATTAATTATAAAAATAATTAAATAAAATATTTATAGGGTTTACTCATAGATAAAAAGTTTTATTTTATATATAAATATATTGCCAAAATACTGCCATTAAAATATTTTATGTTTTATTGTTTTGTCATAGAATTTTGTTTATTATAATAGTTAGTAAAATGAAACCAACATTTACGTCACATTTACGTATTACCAAATCAAGAAATCTCAGTACAAAAGCTGATGTCGCAGTTGCCAGAAAACATACAAATAAGAGAAATAAGCAATTAGAATCTGCTCTAAATTGGTGCAAAGAATAAACGGGAGAGGTTTCCTCTTATTAAAGTTAGACAATCAACGACAGTTAGCGGGAAAATTCACAAATAGATAAAAAACTAAGTTGTTGTTCTTTACATTCAGAGGATAAAGAGACATGCATTGTTCGTTTTATAAAATAAAAAAATAGGTGTTTACAATTAACAAACAAAAAGTAACCAGGTGTTTGCAATTAACAAACAAAAATTAACCATGGTAATACCTAATGTGCTATGTGTTAGACATCACACTAATACAAAGATGCAAAGTGCAAGGAAGTTTCACAAATTATCATTTGAAATTATCAGCTCAATCTACTCTGGAAAAGTTAAAGAAAGTTGAATTTAAATCATTTAATTTGCATGATCTTACGAAAATAACTAAATCAGATAGTCAGGGTCATCCTTATAATCACTTTTTTAATCAGACTTTTCTTTTTATATAACAATTTTACAGATTAAGTAAATCACTTTGGCTTTGTTTTAATGCTAATTATAGCAGTCTTACAATCAAACAACAAGAGAGAATGTCTATTAACCATGCACTGAATTGTTCAAGGGAAATGGCATATAATCATTCAAGTATCAATATGAAAATTTTTATAAAAAAGTATCATACTTTTTTAACTATATTTGTGTAATAGTGTATTTTAAAAATTCCCTTGCTAAAGAACTAGTAGAAGTTGTAATTATTAATACTTTTATTTCAAATTAATGAAGAGAGAATTGAAACATAGTCAGAATTTCTTTTATGCTGGCAAAGGGAATGCATGTCAAAGAATGTATAGAAAAAGCAGAAAATGTGTCGCAATTTAAGCATTTGTTTCATTTTTAGGTATGCAATATATATATGTGGTTTTATAAAAAATGCATATATAACAATACTCGCTTAAAATAATTTTTTTGTTTTTGACATTTAAATATCACCTGACATATATGCATGTGTCAGGTGATATTTAAATGTACTGGTATTAGCAGTTGTATGGTTTCAACAGAAGCAGCAAATAAAATTCCACATTTATTGGTCACAACATTAGATAATGGAGTATCAAACCATGAATCCTTCCTGGCAGCATTGAAAGAGTTTGATATCTACTTAAATAAAAAAAAAAGTTAAACGGTATGTCTATCTGACTAATTGTCAGATAGACATACCTCAACACCAGACTTTGATGTTTTATATTTTCAAGTATCCATCTGAAAGAAGTACCTAGTTTTATGTCATCCAAAAAAGTTAAGCCTAAATTATCAAAAAACACAATGTGTAACCCAAGTACATGGGTTAATGACAGCAAATAATGTACTAACTTTATTTGAAATATATAAAGAGACAAAGAATAAAAGTTAAAAGAAAAAGAAAATGCTGCAAAAAAGGAAGTTAAAAAACTTTATAAAATGTAAGCTTCAATGTAATTGTGGGGACATAAAATGTAAAATTTTGTGTCAAACTTGTTTTAACATAATGCCCTTTTGCAACAAAGTAAATTGCAAAGTGGACAAATCCAGAAATGATCTTATTAGCAGGTGCTAGAAAGAAATAATTGAAATATTAAAAAACCTTTTTTAATGAAATATTTGTATTAATTTTGCGCAAATTTTGTATAAAAAGTTGATTCTGGATAAATTTATAATGCACCTCAAAAACCACTTGTTCATTTTTAAAAGATTTTTTACACATTTCACTTTTATTTAAGATGCAAACAGTTTAATTTATGTATAAAACATATAAATTATCATAAATTATCATAAATGATAAATAAGCTTGTTTGATTGTGCTTAGTCTAACACGAAATTTTTAAGAAAAATAAAAATTTTACTGAAAAGTTTTGGATATTTTATACCTTTTTTAAAATTTAAAATGCTTGTAAAAAAATTTCTTTTATCCTTATTTTTATTTTTTGTTTTTTTTTTAAATTGTAAATGAAACATCATTATCAAAAAATATTTCTTATATGTTTTTAAAATACAAATTTAAATTAACTGGCCACATTGTTTTTGAGGTGCCTTTGTTTTTGGGGTGCATTCACTTGTATGGCAAAGTTGTTATATAATTGCAAAAACTAGATCAAAACATGGATGTTGGATAAAAATAAAGATCATAAAAGAAGAAAAGAAAAGAAGAAGAATAATAATGTTTTGTACTGTGAAAGTCAAAAAAAAAATGGTCTTGAAATTTACATTTAAAGATTACAGCTTTCAAACAATCGACTTTTAAATTTTTCTTTTGATTATTTTTGTTTTAGGTGAATCATCCAATTGTTATACATGAGTTAGGTGTATATGACCATGCCCAAGATGGAATTAAAGGAATGCTCAAAGTTGTTTTATATAACTATGGTAACAAGGTTATTTGTATTTTATTCTAGGAGTTATATTTTTTATATTAGATATTATTAATGAAGTATTTAAATTTTAAATAACTCTTTTAAAATGTTGTAAAATAAAAAGTGAAAGCAAGATAATTTAGTTGTGTGTGTGTGTTTTTTTTTTCACTGTTGTAGGATGTCGTTACAAAAGCTGTCTTCACTTCATTTAGCACTGGAGAAAAAGATGGCTTCTATTTATATAAGCCAGCTAAAAGATTTGTCTTACCAAAGGTTTTTGAATAATTTATTCCAAATTTATTGTCATTTTATATAATTATAATTTTTTATAAGTAATTATTTGTAATATTAATGACTTAATAGTTTTTTTACTTATTTATAATATTATAGGAATAATTTTATTAAGGTGTAATTTTAAATATATAATATAATATTGTAATTTTAACTCATAAAAATGTAACTGGGTACTGCATTTCGCAACACTTTAAATCCTTTTTTGTGATAAAATTTAGAAGATTTAGTGGCTTAAAAAAGAAACACTATATTAATTTTTTTAATTTTTTTTTTGCTGGTAAGTTATACTCATTATGCTGCCTTTGATTTCTTACTTAGCTACAAGTTTATTATTTTAGTAAAATAAATAAATGATACCTAAAGTGTTGCCTGATATTTCAAGAAATTAGGACTCTAAACCCTTTCCTACCTTTTTTTTTGTCTTATATTTAAGTATTTCTTAAAATAGTTAAAATTACTAATATACAATATATTTTGCATTAAAAAAATATATTATGACATAAAAAAAGAAAAAAAAACTTAAATCATTTCTAACCTCCTTTTTTATGTTTTGTGCAAGCTACAAGAAACATAATATATTTCAAAAGTATATATATGATATTTAATGATATTTAGATGTCAAATTAAATATTTGGTAATTAAGTAACAAGATAAAAAATATTTTTAAAATATAATAAGAAAATATTAAGTAATTTTATTTTTATTTGGTTAATATATATCTTATAGAAGGTTATATGTAAAGGCATTCTTCTACATAAAAATTAACTGCAACAGGAAAAACCCAAATATAACATAATGTTCATAAGTTATTTAAAAAAACTTTTTGTACTGATGTCATTTATTAACTAAATTACAAATTAATCAGTGTTTTTTTTTTTTTTTTTTTTTTAAATTAGAGCCAGAATTTATCTTTAAGATAATAATAATAAAAGAAAATTATAGATAAATAATTTGTTTTAAAAAGTTTAATTAACTTGAAACTTATTTTTTAAGGGTTATTTAATATATGAACACAACTTGTTTTGGTACACGGGCATTTATTTCAATAAAGTCAACATATTACATACCAATTAAAAGTTTTTCAAGTTTACTATTATGTTTTGAACAAATATTGATTATTTAATTAATATACTTTAACTGATTTTAAAAATAACTATTTTTAAAGAGTTTAAGAATTGTCAGACATAATGTAGCTTTTATATTTATCCCAAAAAATTGCAATTTTATAAATATTGTAAGCAATTGCTTTGTGGAAGTAATTAAAAAGCTTTACCTATAAGTTATTGAGGTCACAGATATAGGAAATGTATAACATCTGCTGATGTTATACGATTTGTTAAAAAATTTGATAGCAAAATGGATATTCCTTTCATAAGACACATCTTTATGGAGGCAATAAGTCTGCTAATTGACAAATTCTAAGAAGATATAAACTTACTGGATCCACAAAAATTTGAAAACAATCAGGAAAACCACGCAAAACAACATATTGTCAGGAGAAAAACCTTGTGATATAAGCAGCAAAAAACCCTGTTTGACAGCTGTAAATGTAAATGAACAAATAAAATGTTTTTATGGAATAATTTGTACTAAAGTAAGCAACCCGTAATATGGGTTGTTAGTAAATAAAATTAAAAAAAAAAACGCGTATAAAAAAAGCCTAAAAACTACTTTAAAATAGAAAAGCCTAGAAAATGGTGTAAGTTGACTATTAACTACTATTAAATTAAAGTATTAATATTATCAGATTATTTCTAATACAAAACATTGTTTATGGCATTTAAAAGTGTTTGGAAGGCGTCCAGCTAAAAAGCCATTGATTTTTTTAAAAAAAACTGAAATTTTGGAGAAGGATTTGCATCACAGTATCTAAAGTGGTCAAAGGTTCTTTTTTGTGATGAAAACAAGTTTATGCAATTTGGATCAGATGGAATCAAGTTTATTGGACATCCATTATGTACAAATCCTAACTCCCAACTGTTCATAGTAAAACATAGAAGTGGTAATGTAATGGTTTTGAGATGTTTTAGTTAGGAAAGTGTTTATCCGCTTCATAGATATACTGGAACTATTGATCAAGAAATATACAAAGACATGTAATATGCAAGAGCATTGTGTTACCTCATGCAAAGGTTAAAAAATGCCTTGTGGATTGATATGCCATCAGGATAACAAACCCAAATACGCAGGCAAATAAGTTCAAGAATTCTTCAAGAAGAATAAAGTTTTTGTTTCGAAGCGGCCCCCACAGTCCCAATCAACTTCTTAGTTAAGATAGGATGGCTTTGATCATTTATGGGAACATGTTGATTCGTTAAATATTAAGAATCAAGTGTACAAATCATGCTAATTTATTCAGAAAAATCAAAGAAATATTGGACTCAATTTTGATTGATGTATGCATTAATTTAGTTTACTTTATGCCTCTTAAGTAAAAATCCCGTTCTTGATTGTTACTTGATAGTCCTACGAAATACTAAAGAGATTTCTAAATAAATTGATAAATTTTGATCAAATATCATTGAGAAATTCCTACTTTTTGTTGCAAGTTTTTGAGCTCATTAAAAATTGTTCTTTTTTTTAATCAATTAAAATATGTTAATTAAATTATCAATATTCAAAACATAACTTTAAACATAAAAACTTTTTAATTAATATATTTTAGCTTTAGTAAAGAATGTGCTAAAATATTGGTAAAATACACTTTTTTTTAAACTGTTTGCAAAATTTTTGATGCTAATGTTATATCATCAAGTAAATATTCATATATATCACCCAGTAAAAATTCAAATTATTTGAATTTTTACTGGGTGATATATATGAATATTTACTTGATGATATAACATTAGCATCAAAAATTTAGATGTATTTAATACATCTTTAAGTAAAAATTCATATTGGGGAAAGTGGGGCACCATAATGCACTTTTGGTTTTTGCTTTTTTTTTTCTAATATGCCTTTTTTTAGGCGATTGGTTTAATTTGTAGAATAAATTTATACCTACAAAATTAAGTTTATTAATTACCAAAATAAAACAGGTTAAACTTGTGAGACTATTCAAACTAAAATTAGAAGTTTGTATCAATGTACTACACCTATGCATCATCAAAAAAGGAAATAAAAAGTATAAAACTACGAGAAAATTTTTACTTGAAAGACAAACAAGTTAATAATTATAACCCCAATAATGCATCCAATAGTCTAAATCACATTTCAGAAATCCAGATATTATATATTGTCATATATATTACCTGGATAATATATTGTCATTTTATAAAATATTATCATATATAAATCCAGATAATATACTGTCAGAAATCCAGATAATAAAGTGTCAATAAATGATGGCTTTGTATTGAAATTGGATCTCCTAGTATTATATTTCTTTAAAATTGACTGTAAATATTAAAAGGTCAGGCTATCCTGCTACTGCTTAGGTCAGGTTATCCTGCTATGGTAACATGTAACCCAGAACAACATGCTTCATTTCCTGCTGCCTTGTAGAATATACTTTTTTAGGCAATGACTAAGAGGAGCCAATTCTGATTTAAAACATCTCCTGCTTTGGGGCTTTTGGTTAAGTGAAGGCTAGAGATTGTGTTTCGATAAAAATATTCATCTTGGACAGGCGTTAAATGTATCTGGCTACTGTCTTGTAAAAAGCCTTCTAGGAAAAGACTTAATGGGTAAACAGATTATATCTGTTGATGTACCTCTCACCCCTTCTTCATTTATTAGGCTGACACTGATGTATTTATAATACATTGTTTCCAGTTTAGGATGTTGAATGTTGGATCCTCTTGACTCAATGCATGGGTTTTGCTTGTGTCTCCTAATGAGAGTACAGCTCTAAAACTCAGTTTAATGGTTCTGAGGCCGGCTGGTAGTCAGGTTTCCCAAAGTCTGTGGTAGTTCTCAGAGAGGCTGATTCCATCAACAGCTGTATAATATCAGAGTATTAACAGTGCCATGTTGCGCATGAATGGTGTCTCAAGACTGCACTTTTTAAAATGTTATTTCTGATCAAATTGACCAAAAACTTTCTCTTTATCCTTCAGCCAATATTGTTGTTGTTGGTGACTTTAATTCTCAACACACTTTATGGCTTAGCTCTAGTGTCAGTGACACTGCAGGCATTAAGGCCGACAACTTTTGCTTTTCTAAATCTCTAACTCAAATAATCTAATAAATAAATTTTCCAACTTGCTCTCTAAACAATCCAAATCATTTACCCTATTTACACAACTTATGATTTGTTTCTGATCCTAGTCAGTGCTCAGTTTCTCCACATTCACCCTTAGTTGCTTCTTGTTACAGTTTGATCTTTCTAAAATTATTATCTCATTCTTCTTCATCATCAGAATCCCCCTATACCTTAAAGCTGACTGGGTCTCTTTCTGTGAATTTCTTTGTGATGACCCTTGGGAATAAAAGATTCCATGCCTTGGCTGGCATGAATTCTTTTATTTCCTCTTGACAAAAGATAAGTCAAGCCTCACTTCTCTCCATGATTTCATCACATTGTGCTGCTGCAATTTCCAATCGAAGCTGTCACTTCTATATCTATCAGCAAAACAATTCTCCAGTAAACTGACATCTGTTTACTATTGCTAAAACCATTGTAAAAAGGTTTTGTTTAATGCCAAAACCTGTTATTCTCAGGTTACAAAATCTTGTTTTTTTTATTCAAAAATTAGGCTCTTGTGACTTTAGTAGAATCTTTCACAGTATCTATAATAAGGGCAAATCTGCTATTACACCTCTTTTATATGGTTCAGTTTTTGTCACCTAGAGGTATTCGGTATCTAAAGTGATTTCCTGCTTAGACTCTTCTACAGTTTGTGGTCCAGACAACAAACCTGTTAGATTCTTGCAGAAGTGTTCTATGAAGTTGTTATCTATACTTTCAAAACTATTTAACAAGTGTCTATTAGAGTCTTGTTTTCCTGCCTGCTGGAAAGCGGCATCTGTTATCCGTATTTTCAAAAATTCTGGATCTGCGATTCAAAATTTTTGTTAGCAATCTGACTCGTCTAACTTCTGTCCCATTAGTCTTCTTCCTATCGTAAGCAAGGTTTTTAAGTCTAATTAACAAACACCTAACCTTTCATCTTGAATCTAATAACTTATTTCCTGATCATCATATGGATTTTGATCTTCTTGCTCTACAGCTGATTTGTTAACAGTAATAACCAATAGATTTTATTGTGCATAAGATAAATGTGGAGAGATTAAGGCTATCGATTTTGACATTTCTAAAGCTTTGATAAAATTTGGCATGCTGGTCTTCTCCATTAGCTTTCTTCTTATGGTGTATCAGGTAACATCTTTAAGACTATTGAATTGCTTCTACCAATGGTAGTATAAAAGTTGTCTTCGATGGACAGCACTCTTCTTCATATCCTGTCACTTCAGGGGTTTCTTAAGGTTATATTCTTGGTCCTATATTTTTTTTTAATTTACATTAATGATCTTCCAGATATTCTCACATCTAAGGTGGCATTGTTTGCTGATGATGCTACCATTTATTCTTGTCTTAATAAGAAGCTAACACTCTCTGATTGCTTGGAGGAGGCAACTTTAATTCAGATAAAACTCAAATTTTTTCAGCTAACTTTTATTGCAATAATCTAGATCTTCCTATATTTATGAACAGTAATGAACTTATTAAGACATCTACCCTTCATCTTCTAGGATTAACTCTTCCAATTTTTCTTGAAAACCATATATCAAGTTGATTGCAAAATTAGCATCTGCTAAGGTTGCATCTGTTTATCGTGCCCACTACTTTCTATTTTCAGATTCTATTTTTCATCTCTATAAATCTCAAATCACTTCTTGTATGGAATGCTGCTGCCGTATCTGAGGCAGATCTTCCAATGATGGAATATATTGTCTTAACAACATACAAAAAAAAAAATACATTTTAAAAATTTAAACAAAATAAAAAGAAATTTTATTTATGAGAATTCAAAACTTTTGTTGAAATTTTATTAATGGCAAATGTTTAATTTAATGGTGACTTTATTTAGGGTTTTTATGGTTCACTTGTGGTGCAAGGAGTTTCAAATGATGATCCAGTTTTGGGAAATGCTGATTGTATAGTTAATAGTGGTGGAGGTTTGATTACACATAAAATGGTAATAAGTTAATAAAAACTTTTTTGGAAATGTATTATGGAAATGTATTATCAACTAGCCTAATACAATCAAGTATTAGGCTAGTTGATGGCTGGTTTTTTACATACACGGATTTAAAATCTAATGTTTTAATTTTTTATTCAATATTTATGTACTTTAAGTTTATTTATATTTTATAAAATGGATATTTTATTAACAAATAAAAAGTATTTATCAAATCGTTAATAAATTTTAATATTTATAAACACCGCAAATATATTCTAGATCAATTTCTGGTAACTCCCCCACTCACTGCTTCAACAGTCAGAACCCTTTTTGGCATACTTTAGATGCATTTTTCTGCCAATCGCTGCAATTGTTTATTATGGTTCTAGTGGTGAATAATTCTTTGAAGGTTTTCCATGACCAAACCATTCTGCCAATTGTGACAACAATCTTTGTTCTAGGACTTTTTAATATTGCAACTGATTCATTATTCCCTTAACTAGGGTTCTACTTCCAAATATCTCTGACCAGATCATCGCTGAGGAGAAGAGCTGAGGAGAGTTGTTCAACAACTTGAGGGTTTTTTTTACGTATTAAGCCTTCTTTGTTAACACTTGGAAAGTTTATATGTATACTTTAGTGATGAGGTCACTAAAGCATACCTGAAAATACTATGTGAGGGTTGTTAAGTAAGTCTTAAAAGTTTGATATAAGAAATCAAGTATTTATAATTTTACCAATTTCCAGGCGCCTTCAGTTAAATTCTTGTTTGTTTGTGTGTTTTTTGCCCACTTTAGACTTTTTTTTTTTTGTCTTAGTTCGGGCTTCCTAACCAGGCGTGTAAACTGAACTGTAACTAAGATCATGCAGACAAAGTTAAACTGTTCTCTTGGATAATTCAGCAACAGATTGGTCTATCTATTTAGTTTTTGTATTTTTAATGCTTATTTTGTATGACAATCTTTCACTGTGTGGTGTTAGGATTCCTTTTTTTTCCTATTTACTAACCTTTTTTTGTGTCAAGTCCTCCATATTAGGCATTTTTTTCCGTACATTTATACAAAAACCTGGGAAATAATTTAAACTAAAAAGTTTTCTACTTGAGCACATTTTTCAAAAGACAAATAAGAAAATAATTTGCACAAACAGCGCATTTGATAAAAATCTTTCAGCTATTTTTACTTTTGTTTAACTTTAAGTAACATATTCAAGATGTTAGTTTTACTGTTATGAATCCTAAATGTTTATTAATCCATTCATCCAATGATTCATTTCAAATAATCATTTTAGCATTTCAAAATTTCTACAATTTAACTTTGATATAGAGGTATTCACCTGTTTGAATTTTTTAAATAAATTTCAGATAACTAAACAAAAATAAAAAAAAGGATATCTAAACAAAAATGGAAAAAAAGGATTATTAAACAAAAATAGAAAAAAAGAATAATTAAACAAAAATAGAAAAACAGGATAATTAAGTAAAGTTAGAAAAAAAAGATAACTAAATAAAAATTTGTTTATGCGACACAATGATTGCAAAAAGTGACCAGCAGAGCCATCCAGTTATGTAGACCTGGGAGATGTGAAAATAAAAACAATTAGTAGATGGTGTCGTAGAATAAAAAAATAAAAAATCATAAGAAAATTTAAAATGAGTGGTAAGTATAAATAAAGTGGTAAGTATATATAGAGTGGTAAGTATATATAAAGTGGTAAGTATATTTAAAATGATTGGTAAGACTTTTGTGAAGGTGAAGAGCGAAGTTAGATGCTGGGGGGGGGGCAGGGGGAGAAACAACTAACACTCTAGTCACTCTCTGTGTTAATATATCATATGTAACAAAGAACAAATATTTGATATACTGATTTTAGAGACTGTTGATGTCTACAGGTGTGATGGTGTAGTGAGTTAGTATGTACCATTTGATTGTCTAGTATGGTCTTGTTATGTTTTTGTACACTTTCAAATCTAATATAAAGCTCAACACACTCACTCCTTGCCCTTATAGGCTAGCACATCAGAGCTAGACGTAAGACCTACAGAATAGATTTCAATTAATCGAATGCACACATTAGTCACTGTAGGCCACAAGCAAATGATAAAACAATTGTCTATGAGTAAACAAGTATCATGACTAAAAATATCATACAGTATAAAATAAAATAAGTAAATAAAAAAATGGTAATAATTAATGGTTCGGGCAATATAAAAAGAAAAAACAAAATATACGCGTACTACAAAGTTCGAACTCTGAATCTTCAGATTAAGCCACAGCATGCTAACCACCATGCTATAGTGTTGATAACCTGAAAAAAATTGTTTATAAATCTGGTATAATTAATGTACTAGACTAATGTGCTAAATGTTAAAAATAGGAAACTGATAACTCCCTGTTTGTCAGCAATATGGTGAATAAAACAAGTATATAATAAAAAGCTACCAAAGCATCAAAATATATGGGTACAAGAGGCAAAAAAAATGTTGGTGCCATGATAACTAATTAGAATTAAGTAGTGGATAAATGGTGATCCCCCTTCTCAGGAATGCACTGCGATCACCAATGACGTTTCAAGGATCTGCACTAACTCCACTTGTCAGGCGCGTGTTCTTGCAACAGATCTCACTGCCTTCACTCTACATCATGCTAGTCATTATTGTAATATAATAGTGCTACACTACAAAAGCCAAAAAACCCAATCCCTATACCAGCTTTTAATACAGCTCCAACATTCTTAGAGTTCTCATGAGGGTGGTGAGGGGTGCATGTGGTGTAGCTTTATATATGTGTATAAATACATGTACTCACAACATAGAAATATACACGTATCCCTACATATATACATACATACCTATATATATATATATATGCACACTTACATACATACATATATACATACATACATACATACCTACATACATACATACATACATAGATACATACATACATACATACATACATACATACATACATACATACATACATACATACATACATACATACATACATACATACATACATACATACATACATACATACATAATCATAAAATACATACATACATACATACATACATACATACATACATACATACATACATACATACATACATACATACATACATACATACATACATACATACATACATACATACATACATACATACATACACATATATACATACACATAAACATATATATACAAAATAGTGACAATAAAACATATAGAATAGTGACAATGACAACAAAATAAATAATAAGCAGCAGATAACACATAGTACTTCAAAGTAACTTTTTTTATAATTACGGTATGCCTAATATATATCTATGTACATATACATGTATATATAGCAATATAAACTAAGATAAAAATTGTACAAATTGTATATAAACAGAGTGTGGAATTTAGTAAGACAAATAGTTTAAAGAATATAAATCTCACCTGATAAGTGGAGATAACTCCTAACTGAAAATAATTTTAGATAATAACAAATTGATAGGTTGATAACTCAAGATAACCAGCTAATTCTCAATATAATTAGTGGATACACCAGAAATGAATAATAATTCAATATGTAGAATGCTATATGAGAGTGGACAGGTCATAGACACGTAATAGATCAAAGGGTGTCTAGCGGACTGAAAAAATAGAGTTGAAAAAAAAGAATGTTTACATAATAACCATAAGAACACTATTGAAGACTGTATTGTGCAAAATAAAACAAACTGACTTATCGACATCAGATAAAATTCCTTAGGTTAAAAAAAATCTAACAATATGGTAGTCGAATACAAAAAGTATAACCGAAATACAAGATGTAAGCTATTAGAATGACTAAAAGGTAATAAAAGTTAAAAATAACAACAAAAGTTAGTTAATCAAGTGGCTAATCTACCACTTAAAAGATGGTAAAAGTAATAATTAAATGGATCTGTCTTGTAGAGAATGCATGCTAAACGTTATTTATTATTGTCTTATTTTGTGGTGTTCTGTATGTAAAAAGTATATTGCATAGGTTGGTTGTTGTAGTCCTTGTATGGTTATTATGTATTTTAATAAGATATAAAATGCATTTATTGTGATATTTTATTTTTTTATTCTAAATAAAATATGAGTAAATCATTTTGTTTTTCTTCGTTTTTCCATTAATGTGGATAAGGATCCATGTTTAAATATTTCATAGAATTGAGATAGATGTCAAAATAAAACCATTTATGTGAGTAAGGGTGTCTCAAAAAAATTTTTTTTTTCGAAAATCGAAATGTGGAAAAGCGCAATCGTCATCATTATGTATTATTAGCTTATATTAAAAATTCAGCCTTTCAAATCTACTCCAAGGTAAAGAAGGTGGTTTTAGACAACTTCTATATAATAGAATATTATATTGCGAATTTATTATTTTTAATAACTTTTTTATGTTAGAAAAATTTAGCAAACACATTTTAAATATTCTATTAAAATTATTTGTATAATTATTTTTTATTTATTTACATTTCAGAATCGACTCTATTTCAGTGTGTGGTAAAGATGGTCTGTTCATTCTGATGATTTCTATGGCAAGTCAAGCTCCTTCAAATGACTATAGAGCTTTTAAACTTACCAGCTCCAAATGTCAGATGATTACAAACCCTATACAGAGATTGGGAAAGTTCTCAACAAAAGCCTTCTTTGGTACACTTGGTATCTAGCTCCCCAGCTTCTGGTTTTGTCTCTTGCTAACAGGGATCTAGATGTTGACATAAAAAACAACACCCTTGCAACAAATTGCTGTACTTTGGCGTTCCAGAAGAAGATTATATGGTGCTTGAGAAACCTGGAATCCAGCCAGTCGTTGTTCCAATGTCATCTCTTGATGATTTATCACTGATCAATGTTATCTTCTCTTTTTTCTCCTAGAATATGTCCTATACAATAATGCCCGTAAAGCTGCTTAAAGTATTCTTATATCATTTTATTTAATAAACTATACTATTAATTTCAAATACTTGGAATTTTAATGCTTGGATTATTTAATTGTATTACAAAATAAACTGCCTTTTTAAGTTTATTTATTATTTTTTAGGTCCATAAAAACGGACAGCATGTATACAAGAAAGTTACAAAGAAGTACCTGCAGAACATCTAATAAGTATCACAACTGTCATCACGTTTTTGTTGCATTTCAACTCAATTTAAAACTATTATCTGAAATAAATTTGTCACACAAAGTCTCTTCTTTATTCTATTAGAAATATTTTAAATCGAAACCAGTGTTTTGCGAGTGTTTCAAATTTAAAACTATCTATATTTGGAACTTTAGAAAATATTTTTCAGGAAAAATTCTATCATTTAAAAATTGTCTAAAATGACCTACTTTACCTTAGAGTTGATTTGGGATGCTTAAATTTTCACTATACGCTACTAATACATAATGATAACGATTGAGCCTTTAAATATTTTGATTTTCGAAAAAAAGTTTTTTTTGAGACACCCTAATGTGAATGGTTCTCAATGTTTCTAGCTAGCCACAGCAGTTAGTACATTCTTTTGTTATATTTTGTGCAGTTTTTTCTAAAGCCGAGAATTAGGAATTTGAATATTAAGTATGGAGAGCATCCGTTACCAATGAAAAAAAAGTGTCAATTTGAATGTTTCAGTGTCGGTTGTAGTTATGTTCCAGAATATTATCTGTATGGATAGTGGCCAGGTATTCATAGAGTGGAAGTATATTCCATTAATTGCTTTATAAACGATGTATCATTCTTTATCAAGACTCACGTTAGATAATGCGTTTGCATCCTTCGCGGCTTGGCAAAGGAATATCTCTATAGCATTTTATCCTAAAATAGCAGTTAGGTGTATTATTCATATGTCTAGTAATATTTTTATGTAATTATATCTAAGCCTTCTTGTTTAAGGGGTATTTGTAAAAGCCTTCTAGTATATTCTGGTGTTTTTATCAGCGTCGAATGAGTAATAACATAACAATTTGATTGGGATTATTATTAATAACAAACAACTGAAACCAGTTTGTACTTGTTTGTATTTGTGAACTAATTAGTTAACATTGTGATGCTATACTTAAAAATAAACATAAGTTTAAGGTATGTAAAAAATCTCATGATTAAAAATCTAATACATCTATGTTTTTAAAATTAACAAAAATAGAAAAAAGGATAACTAAACAAAAATAGAAAAAAGGATAATTAAACAAAATTTTTTTTTTTAGAGTCATACCACACATCCATACCAAAAATGTTAAGAGCACCTTATAAACCATTACATCTATTGTCAATACCTTGCTTACATGCAGTGCAAGCAATAGCAATAGAGTTTGATCCAATCTTTTCCTGTACACTTTATATGACCTCTTTCAGGTTGCTTATTCTTGACTTTGCAATGTGTAACTTTTGTCTCATTCATGTTTATCTAAACCCACTTGCTTCCATTTGCTAACAAACTTTTTTTTCCTTTTTATCCAGGTTAAAGTTGATTTCAAAATATGACCTCACATGTTATTCCTTTGGAATTTTCATATATTGGTATTTATATTGTAACAGTTTTTAATTTTATTTTTAGTTTTACCGGAGTTTATCTGCAACTGACAGTTATTTCCCTGGATTTCAAAATAAATACTTTAACAGTTCTTGCTTTATTGCTGGACCTTCTTTCAGATATTCTTCATATGGTTTGTTTATATTTGTTTTGACATTCATATAATGTGGCTGCTAACTGTTGCTATGACAACTAAAGATTATGATTTGTCATTTTTATATTTATTATAGTTAGGGGAGATTAGCCATTTTAGTTGTTTTAAAGTTTTAAAGTAAACTAGAAGAAAATTTTGTAAAATTGATGTAAAATTCCCAATTGTGGGTAAAAATAAGATGAGCTCACAAACCTTGGGTAGTAATCACAAACCTTGGGTAGTAATCACAAACCTTGGGTAGTAATCACAAACCTTGGGTAGTATTCATCCTCGCAGTAGTATCACAATAAAAATAATTAATCTAGATTTGCAAAATAGGTTATTGCCAGGAAATGCATATTGTTGTATAATTTTGTTTTAACTTTTCTATTATGTCATATTCAAATAAAAAAATGGCATTATGGAAACTTGTCCGAACTAAACAAGTGTGGAAACATGAATGTTAAATATAATAATAACATTGGTTTTGTTTATTACTTTTTTTAGTCTTATCTGAAAATAGTCTTAGTTAAATAGGCTTGTGTTTTTCTTATTGTTTTCATCATGATTTTTAAACATGATTCATATTTTCATTTTTATTCAAATAGTGATAATGGTGAAAGTTATCTTTCATTATCTTTTTATCCAAAAAAAATAGTGATAATGGTGAAAGTTATCTTTCATTATCTTTTTATCCAAAAAAATAGTGGTAATGGTGAAAGTTATCTTGCATTATATTTTCATCCTAAAAAATATTGATAATGGTGAAAGTTGTCTTTTATTATCTTTTTTTTTTAATTTCATTTATCTCAGAAAATAGTGATAATGGTGAAAGTGATTTTCAGAGAATGCAACGACACAAATACTATTCAAATCAAATTGAAGAACAGGAAAAACGCTTACAAAAAGAGTATTTGGAATATAACGATATATTTTTTGCTGATGTTGTTGAAAGTTATCGTATGTTACCCATGAAAATGCTTCACTTTTATTCTTGGTATGTTCTTTATGCTGATTGTTTATACATTTTTTCTGTTTTGATCATTTAATTTAGACTTTGACTTATATTAATTCAAATTTTTCTTTTGATTTATAAAATTTAAAACCTTTTTGATTTATCAAATTTAAAAATATGTATTTTACCTGAGTAAATTATCTTCATGGCAATGTATATATATATATATATATATATATATATATATATATATATATATATATATATATATATATATATATATATATATATATATATATATATATATATATATATATATATATATATATATATATATATATATATATATATATATTAGGGTGGTCCATAAAACAACTTTTTTGAGAAAAACCTGCTGACACCCCCTAAATGTGTTTTATCTAATGCAAAAACACTAGGTTTAAAATTTTTTTGAACAAAAATTATTTTTAGGGGTAGCTCAAGGCCCTCAAAAATTTGACGGGTCCCTAATATTTTGAAAAAAAAACTTTTTCTAAAGTATGTCAACCTGGTACTCAAAAGAAGCGATATTGTATAAAAACTTCAAAAATAATAATCATTTTACATAAAAAACATGCCTAAAAAAAATTATTCTCAAAAAACCTGAAAATATTGACTTTTTTTATTTTCAGCTTAAAAACAATAGTTTTTATGCATTTATACCTAAAAAAATTATTTTTATAAAAAATTATTATCATTTTTAAATTTTTTATATAATTTTGCTTATTTTGAGTACCAGGTTGACATACTTTAGAAAAAGTTTTTTTTTCAAAATATTAGGGACCCGTCAAATTTTTGAGGGCCTTGAGCTACCCCTAAAAATAATTTTTGTTCAAAAAAATTTTAAACCTAGTGTTTTTGCATTAGATAAAACACATTTAGGGGGTGTCAGCAGGTTTTTCTCAAAAAAGTTGTTTTATGGACCACCCTAATATATATATATATATATATATATATATATATATATATATATATATATATATATATATATATATATATATATATATATATATATATATATATATATATATATATATATATATATATATTATATATATATATATATGTATATATTATATATATATGTATATATATATATATATATATATATGTATATATATATATATATGTATATATGTATATATATATATATATATATATATATATATATATATATATATATATATATATATATATATATATATATATATATATATGTATATATATATATATATGTATATATATATATATATATATATTGTATATATATATATATATATGTATATATGTATATATATATATATATATATATATATATATATATATATATATATATATATATATATATATATATATATATATATTGCTGCTAAAAGCAGATATTTGGATTGCAGGTAACATTTGATGACTAGTACTTATAGATAGATGGCTGACAGAAGCACAGAGGTTGCTAGTAACAGCAATGTCACATGTATCAGCCACAGGGTTTGTTTCTATGAAACTAATATCAGTAGTTTCTGCTGCCAGAAAGTCTGCTTTGGAAAAAACATTTCTATTAACTGGCCATATGCCAGCTTTTTGAAAGCCATTAATAGCATTTGTGATTGTTGCAGCTTCCAGATAGGCTGAGCCATAAAGTGCAGCTATTTGAAGTTGAGTGACCACACGTCCAGGATTTGTTCTCAACCATTTCCTGATATTGTGGTCATAGTAAGTGCTAAGTGATTTCATAAACGCCAAATCCAAGGGCTGCATTTGATGTGTGCAATGAGGAGGCAAACACAGAATAATTACACCATTTTCTTGCAATGTTAATCAACTCAATACTTTTAGTGTGACATTTATGTTCATCTAATATAAGTAGTACTGGCGAGTTTATTTTGGCCCCTGAATATTGAATAAATTTTCTTAACCAAACAATAAACAATTCTTTTTGTATCCACCTACTTGAGTGACATTCAGCCCATGTACCTGGTGGTGCTCCATCCATTAGTTCTAGCTTCATTTGTTTACTAGGAAAGATCATCGTGGGTGGCATGAACCTCCCACTTGCTTAAGAGCAAATAACATCTGTGACAAGCTGAGCCCTATCAGCTGAAGTGAGAGAACCAACTTGTTTTTTCCCTTTTGTTGAAACAATTTTAAAGAGAAACTTTGGAACTGTAGAAATACCTGTTTCATCACAATTCCAGATATTTTCAACATGTAGCTTGTTTATATCCACAACCTCTTCCAGTAAAGAAAAAAAAGAATCCACAGCCACTTGGTTAAAGCCCATGGCACGAGCAGCTGATGTAACCTCCAGTTTACTAAGTGACAAGTGTTTAGAATGTCTCTTCATGAAACCTTTATACCAGTCATAACCGGCAATGCCAAGGTCATTATTAAAACTGTGTTTCTTATTGTTTTTAACTGCCAGTTCATGCGCTAACATTCTGACCTCAAACGAGCTAAGTCCAAAAAGCATCTTTTCCATTAGCTGAATGTGTATAACAAGTTCATTTTCTTTCTCTCGAGTGAATACTGTTTTGAAAGCACCTAAACCTGAAATACAAAAGTACTAATTTAACCATCTCAAAATTAATTAGAAAACATTTATAACATTTTTTAAACATTTAATAATTTTGTGTAAGACTATAATACTGTATCATAGCCCAACACCAAAAGATTATATGTGTAAAATAGGTTATAAATGTATTATAAATATAACTTTTCAAAGATTAATAATATTGATTATGTTTTAAATTCATTGTATCTATACTGTAATTAAATAAATAATCATTTGAACTTACTCTTTTCACATGCTTTTTTTTAATATCAGGATTTTTTCGAAACTTTTTTACTCTCCTTTCAAGGGTAGTTTGTGGTACACTATACACCTTGACAGCTTTTTTATATCCTTAATCATCGTTTATCGCGGAGAGAATTGCTTGTTGCATGACACTTTCACTCCATGTCTGTCGATGTGCATATTTTCTCATGTTATTATTTATCTTAAAAAACAATTATTATTTATATAAGAAACTTTTTACCAAAAATTACAAAGTATACTAAAGTAAAAAGTTTTCTTGTATAAATTTTTACAACTACTGTTACTTACTATTACTGCTCTGTTCTTAAAGAATACTGAGCACTCTATTATAATACACTAACATAATTTATATATATATATATATATATATATATATATATATATATATATATATATATATATATATATATATATATATATATATATATATATATATATATATATATATTTATATTTATATAACAAACACACACACACACATTCGTATAAATATGAACTTGAAATAAATATGGAAGGTATATGTTATATGGGATAGAAATGTGTTCAGGATGAAAAATTATTTTATTTTCATAAAAATGTCATACATGATTAAAATTTAAAATTTATTTAAAAACACTTGGGGTAAAATGGGGAATACCCCATAATGCCCCATATTTCATACTCCATTATGCCCCATTGGTGGCAAATCACTAAAGTACCACATTTAAGAAAAATTTACAAATTTTAAAATTCAAAAGTTTTAATAATATCCAATTCTATACGAGTTAAATTCAATGTAAGCTTCAGCATATCACATGAAATAATAAATTACTGCATCATATAATATGACCTGGTAAAATTACATTAAAATTCATTTGAAGTCGTTTTTACTTAGCTAAGACAAATTTTGCTAAAATTTTAAACTAGTGCAACTGATGGTAGCATTTTGTCACATGATAATTCAAAATCAATCACTATTTAGTTGTTTCCACACTCAGAACACAGTCTATTTGCAAAAAACCATTTTGCCCCAGTACCCCTTTTTGCACTAGTTTCCCTTACATACATAATCTAACATTATGTTAAAATTTTTTTGAATAAAAATCTAACATTTTAACTTGAAACTAAAAACAAACAAAGAATGTTAAAATACACAAGGAATATTCAAATATATATATATATATATATATATATATATATATATATATATATATATATATATATATATATATATATATATATATATATATATATATATATATATATATATATGTGTATATATATATATATATATATATATATATATATATATATTTATATATATATATATATATATATATATATATATATATGTGTATATATATATATATATATATATATATATATATATATATATATATATATATATATATATATATATATATATATATATATATATATATATATATAAAACAAAAGAATTTTTGTCTTGCTTGCCATGGCTGTTTTAGGAGAGCTTTTCTCTGCTCTCACAGTAATTTACTCCCACCGAGGCCTGAAAGTAATTGGTTTTAATTTTTAAAAAAGATCACCCTTCATGACCCTTGATTACACTGGCCCTTATATATTAGTGATTTTTTTTCTTTATATCAACCTGGGTCTCAAAAGAACCAGAATTTTATAGTGATTTCAAAATTCATTATCTTTTTTACTGCAACATTTTTTAAAACTTTTTTTGCAAAATGTCATAAAAAACTACCTTTTCTATATTAAGTTAAAAATTGTTGTTTTTTGTATATAAAATTTAAGCAATTATAAATTTTTTAAACTTTTTGATAATTTCTGTAATCTCTATAAAATTCTGGTTCTTTTGAGACCCAGGTTGATATACCTTTAACAAAATTCACTGATACATGGAAGCCAGTGCGTAATCAAGGGTGACCTTTTTAATTAAATAAAACCAATTACTTTATATAATTAAAATTAGATAAAACCAATGACTTTTCAGTTACTTTCAAACAAAAGTTCATCTGTTTTTTATATTGAAAACTGAAGTTATTAAAAAGTCACATCCCTAATATATATATATATATATATATATATATATATATATATATATATATATATATATATATATATATATACATATATATATATATATATATATATATATATATGTATATATATATATATATATATATATATATATATATATATATATATATATATTATATATATATATATGTTGTAACTGTGATGGTCGTAACGAAAAATCTAATTTTGAAAAACAATGAATAAAACAATGCAATCAAAAAAAAAAGATGAATAATCATAAAAACCAAGTATGTAAAAAGTATAAGTATGTAAAAAGTATAAGCTTAATAACATTATCAAAGTTCTCAATTATGGTTTTTTGATACTGGGTTCGTTAAATTTAAAACTGGTAACTAAAGGCAGGCTGCTTTATTTGTTTATACTTTAATACTTTACAAAAGTATAAATGGTTAATGCTCCCTGTTCACAACATAAGTTTATAAAATAATTCTTTCAAAGTAAAAATATCAATTTCAAAATTGTTTTCAAGCTTTGGTTGCCAAATTTCACTTGATTTTTTAGCTTGTTTTTATTTCTTTTGTGTTCTTTGATAATTGTTTTCTTTAATAACTTCCATTTCCTTTTTTTCCAACAATGCTTTTCCGTTTCTTGCTCTATAAGCTTTTGATCTTTCAGCACCTGATTTAGGCATTTAAAAAATATTATTAAATTTAACTTTTGAGATTAACGTTCTGTTATGATTAAAAAAAAACCTGCAAAATTTATAATTAAAAAACTCGCAAAATCGAATAAACAAAAACGTTGCAATGCAAACTATAAAAAACATTTTAATGAAAAAAAAATTTTCTTAATCTTAAATGTTTTTATTTCTCAACAAAATTAATTTATTTACATAAATTATTTTAAATAAGTGATTTATATTTAAAAAAAAAATAATTTCTAATTTAAAGTTATTCGAAATTACTTTAACAAGCTTAGCAATATTATGAGTAAACTAACTGTAAATGATTTCTAAATTGGTTTCAATAATAAAATCGTTTGCGTTGAAACTTTTTATATAGATAAGAAGCCGTTATGGAAAAACAAACATAGTGTGATGGTCGTGACGTACTTTGTTACATCTTAATACTATCATCTGAAGCTCTTTTGTAAAAAAAATTAAAGCAATGATAAAACTTAAATCAGTATCTTTACTTTTACTATATTTTTAGCTTTATAAAGTCTGATACGAAGCCTAGAAAATATTTCTTGATTTTTTTTTGTGACGGTTGTAACGCATTAATTTGATAAATATATTCTTTTTTTATACATAGTTGGAGTGTGTTTTCATAAATAATATTCTACATGTTTAATATTGTCTTTAAGTTAAACTTAAAAGTAATAGATACATAAAAATGCAGTACATTAACCTTTTTCAACGCTTCACAACAGGACTATATAAAAATGTCAAAAATTGTTTATATAACCCTTCCAACTTTAAAACAATGCTATGGTATGATAAAATGATTTTTTTAATCATTTTTTGGCTTAAAAGTATTCTTAAATAGTTAAAAAAAGAATTTATTGAGGTTAGTATATGTTTTCCTAACATTTTTTTTTTTCTACTTTCTCGTAAAATTGCCCATATATATATATATATATATATATATATATATATATATATATATATATATATATATATATATATATATATATACATATATATATAAATATATATATATATATATATATATATATATATATATATATATATATATATATATATATATATATATATATATATATATATATATATATATATATATATATATATATATATATACATACATATTTATTTATATATATATATATATATATATATATATATATATATATATATATATATATATATATATATATATGTGTGTGTGTGTATATATATATATATATATATATATATATATATATATATATAAATATGTATGTATATATATATATATATATATATATATATATATATATATATATATATATATATATATATATATATATATATATATATATATATATATATATATATATATATATATATATATATATATATATAACTTGCTTTAGGCTTTCAGTAAAAGAATTCAGTTTTTTTTTAAAGTCTGATGATGATTGCTTCATTAATGTAACTGCAATATTACAGGTATATCTTTTTACTTGTTGTAAAGTCTGATGAAAATTATATTAGTATAATTACAATATTTTTTTTATTTGCTTGATTTTTTTTTATGTTATATTGCTTATTGTTTTTCCTTATTATGAAAATTTGTTATTTCATAGATGTTGAAGTATACTTTACGAAACGGAAAAAATAATATTGTTTTTGGAAGGTAATAAATTTTTTTATTTTTGTGATGGTTTCAAAACTCGTGTTTTTTTTTTTAACTTTTGGTTTTTTCCAGCTTTAGACTGAATTTTGCTTTGGATCAACATGGCAAGTGGGCTGAGCATGACTTTATATCGTTAACTTATCCACCATTTCCATGTGGATCTGGTTATTTATTATCAAAAGATATTGTGGACTGGATATTTTACAATAAGTTTCGTCTCAAGATTTATCAAGTGCAATTTTTAGAGTTATTATATAGAAAAAAAAGTTAAATTCATTCATTCATAATTTTAGTCATTTTTATTAATTGCTTTTTAATTAAGGGAGAAGATGTATCTCTTGGTATATGGTTATCTGCTATAAATGTTAATCTAATTAACGACAATCGTTTTAGATGTACTCGAAATGGACATGATGGAGATTCTTTCACTTCTCCAGACCATACTCTAGAAGATTTAATTTATCATTTTGGACCAAATAAAAATATATTTTAATCTTTTTATGATCATATATATATTGTAAAGTTATATTTATTAAAAATGTTTAGTTTATTTTAATGGTTGCGTAATGAAAAAATAGTAGTTTAAGAGTTCTAAAGTAGTCTTTGTTAGTTGTCCTAAAGTAGTCCTGAATAGTTGTTGTTGTCCTAGATACACTGATTATAAAAACTATATTGCAAAATTAGGTTTGATACTTAGTTTTTGGATTTTGTCATAATCAATCATAACACTTTTAAGGTTGTGCCATAATTATATAATTGTATTTTATTGAGATCAATTACTTTTTTTTATAAATTAAAAATATTATATATATATATATATATATATATATATATATATATATATATATATATATATATATATATATATATATATATATATATATATATATATCAGATAATATTTATATGGGGACACAAAAGAAAAATGTATGGACATGTATGATGCCATCATGTATGTCTATATATGTGTATATACATATTTGCATACATGTATATATATTTATGTATATAAACACACAAATATATTTGTGTGTTTATATATATATATATATATATATATATATATATATATATATATATATATATATATATATATATACATATATGTATGTATGTTTTTTTAACCATTTAAAATTTCTTTTATTTGAAATCTTCATCAGTAAATAAAGTTTTGAAAGAGGAATTTACACCAAGTACATATTTTTTAGTTATGATGGTATAAGATAAGTTAAAAAAAAAAGTTATGATGGTATAAGATAAGTTATGATGGTATAAGATAAGTTAAAAAAAAAAAGTAAGGGACTAAGGGAAGATGCAAAGTCTGCTTCAAATTACTTTAAAAAACTATTTTATCAATGTTATGTACACCAATTAATTCATTCTTTTCATAATTTTGTCTGTATTTTTAAACATTTTGCCATTAAACTTATATAAATGCATACATAGATACATAGATAGATACATACATACATATATACATTTAAAGAAACTTAGAAATATACAAGAAATTTGTTATAAAAAAAAATAACATTAATAAACTTGTGATTATACAAATTTTAATAGTATATTATAGTATATTATAATAGTATAGCTTATATGTATAATAATTATTTTTATTTATAATAATAATTTTTAATAGTATAGCTTATATGTATGGGAACAAGTCGAAAGTTGTGGATTGGAAACATTGATAAAGACGTCTCACAGTATGTTAATTTGTATTTTATATGAGTTGTTTTTTTTGATAAAATATATAACAACTGAATTGATTGTGCTGCAGACAGATGTAGATTGTAGACAATATTTGCAACAATGCACAACGCTAGGGGAGTGCGGGGATGGATGTCACACTTTTTACATTTTAGACTGTCTATGATTTATTTGGTAAATCAAAGCCAAACTTTACATAAAGATATTAAAGTTATTTCTAGTAACTATTTCAATATTTTTATGACAGTTAAATATATTTTTCTGTAAAATCATTTTTCTAAGACCTCTTCTGTGTGACAACCAACCCCACCTCTGTGTGACAACCAACCCCACCTGCAGGTTTGGTTGTCACATAGTGTAGGATTGGTTGTCACAATTCTTGATATATTAGGATTATAACCAGTTAATGTAAATTTAAGTATAACTTAATTTTATGAGTATAATTATGAGAATAAAGTTTTGCCTAAACCTGAAAACAAAAATAGTTTTAATAAAAATAAAGAAAATGCTACATAGTGAAAACTAGTTGTTTTTACAAGTACAACACAGCTTACTCGTTAAAGTCGTTTATTATTTTATTATTTAAAGTCAATTTAATGTTTTATGAAGATTTCACAAATACTCTTTCTTACTTCCATTTGCAAATGATTTTTTATTATTAACTTTAGTTTTACTAGTTTGCTTATTTTCATCATTGTCATGCTTTGACTGTTTGTTAGAATCATTGTTAAACACTTTTTCTCTTTTTTTTTTCTTTTTGATGCTCACCCTTTAGGCAAAGGCTTAATACATTTAGGTGATAATACTGAGGTAGGTGATAATACTGAATTTTTAAAAACTCGATCGATTGAGTCATGACAAGAGATTTTATTTGATGGATCTTTTATTTATATGTCTACACGACTAAATGGTATCTAAACAGGCTCTTTAAACCTTTTATTTGCTGGTTTCAGGTTGAAGTGAATAAGGTTGGCAGGATTGGACTTCTTTATTTGAATCAAAGGAATGGGACGATTAGTTAAATAATTAAGACAAAATTTAATTTCAGTAAAAATGTAATTTAATGTTGTAGATATGACCACTTTTTATTAAAATTTAAACTTAAAAAATGTAATTTAAATGTTGTAGATATGACCACTTGCATTAACATCTCCTGAAATTCTTTTTGACGAATTTATTTTAGGAAAATATCTTTAAAGTAAAATAAATTTCTGCTGCTGGCAACAGTTAGGTGACTAGTAAGTGATCAGGGCCCCAGCTAAAAATAAGATTTTTTTCAAACCTTTTGAGTATTGACCATGATTGTATTTGTAGAAAAGAGAAAGAAATGAAACCTTACAACAGTGGGAGAGCGGCTCAAGCTTGGGAGATAAAGCATGTCTAATTACATTTACAATGTGCTTTTAGACTTTGTCTGAGGGTAAGAAAGTTGTTATTTATCAATATAGGAATGCCAACAATATTGCAATATTTTTTGAATTAAATAAATGGATTTTGTTGTCTAACAAAAGTTGTGGATTTTAAATCCAAACTTGAAATCCACAAGCTACTGCAAGCCTTAGGCTGTTATAAAAAAAACAGAACAGTATTAAGTTGAGTTATTAGGAAATAGAGCCACTTTAGATTTTATTTAGATCGTTATTGTAGATAGAACCTTGATAGAACCTTGATAGAACCTTGTGGTACCCTTAACGATAGAACCTTAAAGATAGCAAAGTTAGAACCTTGTGGTACCTTTAAAATTACTTAAAATCAAGAAGATGGTAGACCTTAAGTAATAACTTTACTACTGCAGTTAGAAAAAAATCATTTAATAACCTCAAAACCTTTATAAACCTTTATATGAAGAAACTAATAAGGTAGTAAAAAAGTGTTTTCTAGAGTTTAACAATAATTGAAGAGAATTCTGCAGAACACTTTTTGGACTATAATGGAAATCTAATTTGAAGCATAGACTGTAGAAGTGTTTAATTAAGAATTATATTTAGCATTGCCAGAGTGATTTAGATAACAATGGTTTAATCTATTCAACTGTCAGGAAGAGTATGGCCATTATATTCGAGAGTCAAATAAGGGTAATATTTTTTTGCAAATAACTCTGCTTTATTCTGGGGAGAAGTAAAATGATTAATGTTAAATAAGCAACTGCTCAAGATGGTGAATAATGTGGAGTAGAATGAGGCTTGACTTAAAGTTGCAGAGAAGTAATAAAAGCTTCCAAACATTCATTCCAGAAGGAATAAAAGCTTCCAAGATGCAATTTATGTATACATATTATGGATATAAACATACCTGTTTACTATTTATTTAGATGCATACAATATCCTTTTATTTATTTAGATGCATACAATATCCTTTTATTTATTTAGATGCATACAATATCCTTTTATTTATTTAGATGCATACAATATCCTTTTATTTATTTAGATGCATACAATATCCTTTTATTTATTTAGATGCATACAATATCCTTTTATTTATTTAGATGCATACAATATTCTTTTATTTATTTAGATGCATACAATATCCTTTTATTTATTTAGATGCATACAATATCCTTTTATTTATTTAGATGCATACAATATCCTTTTATTTATTTAGATGCATACAATATCCTTTTATTTTTATATAAGCTTTAGTATTTATATGGAATTTGCCAAAAGAAAAGATGATCAGATGGGTGTGTGGCATGACTCAAGCAAGACAAAAAAAGAAAGGATAATCTTAGACAGATTCATTGCTTGATACATTGTATCAAGCAAGGTTAAACAAAGATTAAAGTAATTTAGGCATCTGCATGTAGAGAGGTACTAACTTAGTAGAAAATGGTAGTGGTAGTAAGAAAACTTGAAGAGAGTGCCTTACATATTGTATGAATGAGCTTTAGTTAAGAAAAAAAAAAAATGTTCTAGGTATTAGAGAAACAGCATAAAAGAGGCTAAAGATTTGGAAGCTGATGATGATCATGGTTATCATCATTATCATCATCATCATCATTATCATCATCATCATCAGGCTTTAGCATTCCTATTTTATGCTGTTGATGATGATGGTGATGATGATGATCATCATCATCATCATTATCATCATGTTGATCATAATGATGTTTATATATGCATATATATACAAAAAATAACATGAATTTTTAATTAAAAAAATATACTTTAGGATGTATAAATGTTTATGCAAAATTTTATTGTTTATGCAAAGTTAATTCAAATCAAGAAAGTATATGAAAAAAAGCTTTTTACCTTCCTTTACCCTTTAACAAGTAACAAAAACAGGCATATATATATGCGTGTGTGTATATATATATATATATATATATATATATATATATATATGTATGTGTGTGTATATATATTTTTTTGAACTCCTTACATATTAAGTGCTTACCCTTTACAATTAAGCGATACCCTTGATTCGAGCTCTGTACAAATACATACATACATACATACATACATACATACATACATACATACATACATACATACATACATACATACATACATACATACATACATACATACAGACATACAGACATACAGACATACATACATATATAGTAGATGTTTAGAAAAAAAATTAATAATGTTTTTATTTTAACAGGTACCAACTTTTGCAATTGGTCAAGACTTGTGGAGTTGTCAAACTCTTTGATTTTGTTTATCACACTTCAGGTCCATTAAAAGGGGAACCCCGTGGTTTTTGTTTTATTCAGTTTGAAAAAGATGCTGTGCGTCTCTAAAATTGATCATTTCTTTACAAGTTATTTTTTTAATGCTTTTTAATCTTTTGTATTTTATTTTAAATTATAGGAAGCCAACCGTGCCTTAGTTAAGTTAAATGGTCTTCAATTGCAAAAGTCTTGTTTAAAAGTAGACTGGGCCAGAGATAATGAACAACTAGAACAAAGTGAACAGGTTTTATTGTTGTTTTTTTTGTTTGTTTTTTAAAAAAGTTATTTTTAGAGTATCAAGGACATATACTCTCTTCTATAGTTTTATTCAATGAACTTTTAATATTTTTAGAATAACTAAATAATGATTATATCACCATGGTCAGTTGAAATTTGGACAATTTTAAAATGAGCTTTCTCAAAAACCACTTAATCAATTGTAATTTTTTTATTTTTATAATGATGCTTACATAATTAGTTTTTCTGTAAGTGGATTTAATTTTTTTTTACTTCTTGCTAGTTTTTGCAATGTCAAGTAAAGAGTCTAAAAATCAAAAAAAAATTTTCGAAATTTTACACAGAAAATCCATCCTTTTCATATTCCATGATTTTGAAAAAATGAAGATTTATTTCCAAAAAGAAGGCAAAATCAATAGTCGACTTATTTCATCAAAATCCGACTCAATCACAATAAGATTCAGCTGCAAAGTTTAAATGCAGTTGATCTTTTGTTCAAGAGTGTTCAAAAAGAAAAATACGAAAGAGTATTACAAGAAAAAAAGTACCAAAAAGGTCGTTTAATGGAGAAATCAAAGCATATGCGCAGGCTAAAAATTAGCTTAAATTAATTACAAAAAAATTTTTTAGCATTTTTGAAGACGATGAAACTTACTGTAAAAAAGATCGCTCGATGCTTCCAGGTAATCAATACTATTATTAGTTTTAAAGCTTCTGACAAATTTAAGTACATTTGAGTTAAAAAATTCACTCCCAAGTTCCTTGGGTGGCAGGCTATTAGCAGTTGTGGTTTTAAAAGCTCTCTTTTTATAACAAATCAATCTTTCACATCAGAAATATATGGGACTGAATGCTTGAAAAAACAACTTCTTCCTTTAATTAAAAAGTACAAACAACTAACCTTATTTTGGCCTGATCTGGTGCTGATTCACTATTCCAAAAAAGTAATGCAGTGTTACAAGAAAAATTAAGTCAATTTTGTTCCAAAGGATGCTAATCCACTAAACTGTTCTGATCAGCGAGTTATTGAATCTTACTGGACAATTGTGAAGGAAATATTGAGGAAAAGAGTCAAATCTTTAAATAGTATTAAAGTTTCCGAGATATATGGATTAATGCTACAAAAAAAGTAATATTATGGAGATGATGGCGGGTATTTTACAAAAAAATAAATTACTTGCACATCCTAAAGTTAAGATATAATTTATTTTTGTTGAAATAAAAACTAATTATGTAAACATCATTATAAAAAAAAAATCTTTGCAATTGACAGTGGTTTTTAAGAAAACTTATTTTAAAGTTGTTGATTATCACCATAATAGGTTGAAACCTAAATTTCAACCAATCATGGTGATAATACGATTATATCACAGTTGTCTTTTTTTTTTTCAAAGTGTTGCCATGATTTAAGCGTAAATAAAGCGAATTTATAACAATTTGTTTTCTTATTGATTCACAATATAGAAGGATTCTTACTTTCATAGTTTTTAAATATGGGGTTAAGGTTGAGGAGGTTGAGGTTTCTCCTCCTTCCCACCCCCATCCACACCTTCTACTATTTATAGATATAAAAAACTAAATATTATAAAGTATAAAATAAATGTCATAAAAGGTTTTATTTTAAATCTGAATGTTGTGAGTGAAACTGGGATCAATGTAACTTGAAAACACATGCAGCTTGCCCCTGGAATTTCTTGGAAATGAATGTAACAATGATTAGCCTTATTACAAACATTTGGTTGGCTGCCCCACTTTAAAAATCTCTCTACCCACATTGATTCTGGTGACCTTTTTATTAACCTTATTATTGGTTCTGGATTTTCAAAAAATAGTTTAATATAGTTCCTTTAATTACCAGATAGAAAAGAAATAATGATCAAATTTAGGCATACCACTATAAATTGGTTTCTATTAAAAGTCAGTGGTGAAAGAATTCAAAAAGTAGAGAACTCTACTTTTTGAGAAAGAATGGAAACTTAGTTTCCATTCTTCAAGATAGGAATATCAACAATATTTTAATAATTATTTGCAATATGCAACTGCGTTTTGTTTGGGTTAAAATTTACCAATTACTATGATAGTTGTTGCAGAAGAGAGATCACATTTAACATTGGGTGACAGTCTAAGCAATCAAAAAAGGACGGGCTTTTATTAAAACTGGAGTGTTTAGGTGTGTCATCTTCAAACACTTTAGAGATAAAGTTATCAGGAAGATCATTAGTTATAAAACAACACAGCACCAATAAAGGTGATGATGAAATATTGTGGTATTTCAAAATTACTGAAAATGAAGGAAAGGAATTTTGAACCTAACTCAATGGAGTTAGGTTCAAAATTTTTTGTTTGGTAACCAATTATTTGATAAGTGGCATAGTAGTATACATGGTGCTTTTGATAATGAGGTTTTGAGTTTATAAAATATAATTTTGTTAAACTTAGAGAAAAAGTCAAAAAGAGAAATAAATCTATATTGATACTTCATTACATTTTAAACATCATCAACAGCATTTTTTATACATCATCACCAACAGCATTTTTAAATACATCATCCACAGCATTTTTTTTTTTTTTTTTTTTTGCCTGGTTGACTTCATCTAAAACTTTTAAATACTTCATTCTAAACTTTTAAATACCTTATTAACTTCATCCAAAACTTTTAAATAGCTTATTGCATTTATAGCACATAGACTTTTTTAAATAATATTTGATTGCAGTTTAATGTTGGTCACAGTTAGTAAAATTTAGTTTTTAAATTAATAATAGAGTAGATAATGATAGATTAAGGCAATAATAATAGTATAAAAATAATGATAGTATTATTATCAATAATAGATTAGGGCTATAGTTTTGATATCTTTACTGATATGCTATATTTTTAAAAAACTATTATGCCTTAAAAACATAAAAAGTTACTAATTTAAGCTTAAAGAGATAAAATCTCAAAAATACTTTAGAATTTAAAAAGTTAAAAAGAAAAATATTTTGGAATTGAAAATCACTGGTGATACATTTTATATATGAGAAATGTAGTGACAAAACCTAATACTCGATGCGTATTTATTTATAACAGCAAATGTAACTAGGATAAATCGAGTCCAGAAGTGAATAATTTTTTGTAAATCTGGATTTTCCGGATTCCGTTACGATATAGGGGAGCCTGTTGTACCTAGGACAGTTTTTTAGATATACATTTGTCATTGTAATTTGACATACATCACACAAATTATAATTGCATATTTTGAAAGGTCAATTATTTGGGTACTTATCACCCAAATATCAGAAATGTATATTTCATACTTAGTACATAGATTTTAAGTTATAACAAAAGGTAATTAAGACCAAGGTAGAACATACCCTATGTACCTGGGCCAGTACTATGGTGTACTTAGGACCTGTTGAGAATTTAGAGGTAATTTAAGTAAGTTATTAACTTTTCTTAATTGAAATCATTTTATTCGGTCTATTACATTAGCAAAACACCTTAGAAATTCTGAACAAAATCAAAATAATATATATATATTTTTTTCTTATTTATCAAAATTTTTATACGTGGATATACGGCTTCTTGTTATTTTTTTATAATAATTACTTAGGGGGTGTTACTAAAACTTTCATAACTTTTGAAATATTAAAGATAAATATGTTCTGTAAAAAGAATATGAACACTGACTAAATGTTTTATATTTTATTATTTAATATAATAATCCAAGGCTGCTCTGATTTTTAAATAAATGCGCAAAATGACAAACTTGGCAGAATTTCGATATTTTAAAGGTACTTTTTAGCAAAAATAATCGGAAAAATTATATTTCTGTTGACTAATATGTGATATAAACATAGTTAGACCAATTATAAATCATATTTACATTATTTACACCGAATGCAAACTGATACAGGCACTACAATAAACGAAATAAAAAAATCACAAAATTTTTTTTCTTTTTTTAAAAGATTTAAAACAAAAAAAAAGAGTTTTGAATTATTTTTGCTTTCGGTCGTAGAATAATTTCCTGACACTTAAATCAATATTACAATATTAACACTTTTCTGTGGAAAAATAACACATTTTTTATAAATATACATAACAATATAGGCAATTTAAATAATTTGATAAATATCGTTTTGGTAGATTGACATAAATAATTTTTTTTTCAGTTAATATATTTATATATGTTCTAAAGTAGTAAACGATCTTTGTATGCAATTGATACTAGTTTTGATTCCATTCCATATGGAAAATACTCTTCATAATCTTACTGACTTCTTATGTTAAATGTTGGCACTTCATGCTTCTTCTGGAGTTTTTTTAAAGTTTGTTGTATTTATACACTAAAATTTGTCTCGCTAAAAAAACTGTTTTAATAATTTTTATTTAATAGTGAATTGGGAAGTAACGCATTTAAAGTTACGTCATTGCTTTAAAATGTAAACAAAAATTTTTTGCATGTAACTACAAATTTTGTTGCTTAAAGCAACAAACTTTGTCAAGATTGAAAACGTTTTAGTAAGAAGTACAGAAAGTAATTTTTTTGATTTTCATTTGCATAAAGGGTTGTTATTTCAATAATTTGGTGAACTTGGCAAAAATATAACGTTTTTCATATAAAACTAGTAATAACAAAAATATAAAAGCTGAAAAATCCAACTTAAAATTTTTTTTTTATCCATGTTCACCAAAAATCTGATAAAATAGACATTCGTTTATAAGTATGTAAAATTTCAAACATAAAGCATGTAGCTTAAAATATCTAATCTTAATTGGCCCAAGACAGGTTTTCCGTAAAATACGCAAAAAACAGAAAAGTGATCCCAAATCATTAGCAATATTTTTACAACTTTTACTTTTATTCCGTTTAATCAGAATATTAATTTAACAAGGAAAGATAAATGTTTCATTTTTTTTTATTAGTACATAAAAGCGTTTATAGAAAAAAAAAACCATTACTTTAAAGTTATTGAATTTTTATACTTTATATACCGAAATTTTTATGTGCAGAAATTGTTTTT